GGAACATGATTACTGAGTTTGCAGAAATAAAAAGGATTGGAATGGAGTACCTTGAATAGTAATTGTATACCAAAAATTAGCTAACTTAGGTAAGATGGAGAAATTCCTAGAAAGACATAAATAACTGAAACTGACTCAGGGAGAAAAAAAGTCTAAATGGACTTATAACAAGTAAAAAGATTGAATCAGTAATTTAAAAACTTTCCACAAGAACAAAGCTGTGGCCCAGGTAGCTCCACTTCTGAATTCTACCAAATACTTAAGTAGTCAGTTCTAATCTTTACAGACTTTGAAAAAGCAGAGCAGGGAACACTTCCCAGTTCATTCTGTGAGGCCAGCCAGCCTCATGCTGACATCAAAGTCAGACAGGGATAGCACAGCGCAGAAGACTTATGTTCAGGCCAGCCCTTAGTCTTAAAGAGCACCCAGGCTGTGCTGTTCTGGTGTTAGGACACGTGTAGATAAGTGAGGCTGGCCTGAGAGTGCAGAAGTAAACCTTCACATTTTTGGTCAGTTGGTTTTTGACAAGAGCGACAAGACAATTTGCTGGGGAAAAGAATAGTCTTTTAAACAAATGGTGCCAGTATTAACTGCGTAATCCCAATGTAAAGGGATGGAACTGGACCCTGCCGTACACCATGCGCAGAGTTAACCAAAACAGTCATAGACCGACGTGCAAAAGCTACAGCTGTGAAACAAGAAAACAGAAGTAAATTTTTGTGACCTTGGGAAATGGCTTTTTAGATATGACAAAGTACAAATGATAAAAAAAGATTAATTAGCTCTGGTTGGTGTGGCTCAATGGATTGAATGCTGGCTTGCGAACCAAAAGGTCACAGGTTCTATTCCCTGTCAGGGCACATGCCTGGGTTGGGGGCCAGGTCCCCAGTTGGGGATGTATGAGAGGCAACCAATTGATATTTCTCTCCTCCTTCTCTCTCTGTTACACTCTCTAAAAATAAAATCTTTTAAAAAAAATAATTGGACTTCATCAAAACTAAAAAGTTTTGTGCTATATAATGCTTCAAGAAAGTGAAAAGACAACCCAAGAATGAGAGAAAATATTTGAAAATCATGTATCTGATAAAAAGGCTTTATCCAGAATATTAAAAATGGACAAAGTATTTGAATTTGTTTGTTGAAGGTAGATGTACAGATGTTCAATAAGCAGGTTAAAAGCCATCAGGCAGATGCAAGTCGAACCACGAGATACCACTTCACACCCACCAGGATGGCTGTGATGAAATGATGGCAGGAACAAGTGTGGGCAGAGTTGCAGAGAGGCTGGAAGGCTCAATCTTTTCTGGCGGTGATACGGAGTGGTGCTGCACTTTGGGAGAACAGCTCGTCACTCCTCAAAACGTGAAACACAGAGCGACCGTGTGGCCCAGCAGTTCTGTTCTTGGGTGTGCACTCAAGAGAAAGGAAATGTGTTCACACAAAAACTGGTACTGGAATGTCCATAGCAACAGTTTTCATAGTAGCCAAAAAGTGGAAACAACCCAATCTGTCAAGCGATGACCGGATAGCGAAGTGTTGCACATCCATATAATGTGACGTCAGTCAGCAGTAAAATGGATGGCACGCTGATCCTTGCTGCCGTGAAAACACCCTGAAGTGAAAGAGCCCACCAGAAAAGACCTTGTGGAAATTCTGCTTCTGTGACGTGTTTAGAAGAGGTCACTGTGAGAGCCGGAGCAGAGGGGCTGCTGAGCCACTGCTGATGGGGATGGGGTTCCTTTCTGGGGAAATGCATGTTTTATAAAATTGCATGGTGGTGGCGGATGCACAGCTCTGAATATCCCAGAGCCTGTGAATTACGTGCTTTCAGTGAGTGAATTCTGTCTTGACAAAGCTGATAAAAACATCCCTGGGGGCACTGGTCAGAATTTACCTTCTGTGGCACAGCAACTTCTCATTTTCTTTGAGATCTTTTATTTCAGTGGCTGCTGAGGAGTCTGTTCTGAGGCTTAGGCTTCTTGCGCTTTACTGAGGAGGACACGGTGAGAATGCCCCTGATGATGCTTGGGCAGCGTCCCGTGGCCCTAGTGCTCTGTGTGTACTTTTTGTTTGTGTTCTACTGTGGTCCTTATTGTGGCCCATGGGTGGAGAAACTGAAATGTGGAGAGGTTATGTTGATGGCCCAGGGTCAGTGCAGCTCGTAGGACCTGGACCAGCAGTTGTGTCCTGGCTTCTTTCAGAGTTTGCTGTTGACCGCTGTGCTGATCACCTTCAGTGTAATTTTAGCAATGATACCTTCCTTTAAAAATAGGCTTTTGGTCAATTTTGGGCTTTTGACTCACTCAGTGAACTCATACAAAGATGAAAAGTCTTTCCTTAGAGCAAACTTAACTGTAAATTTCAGACCTCCTACCTCACCATTTGGGCGCCTTGGTGTCCTGTAATGAGCTGTGACAGGCTCTTGCACTCTGCTTCCCAGGACATTGACTGCTGCTGGCCAGTACAGCTCTCATGCCAGGGGGAACTGTTGACCAGTGCGCTATTCTGGGTGGGGGACGGGCAGGCGCTTCCGCAAGTCCTGGAGCTTCTGCAGGGCCTGTGCCCCAGGTCGCATTCCTTGCTGCTAACTGGGCGCACGGGCCTCCTTTTCAGGGCAGAGGCTGCGGGCTAGTCCAGGTTATTCATTAGCTAGCAGGGCTCCTAAGTCCACGTTGAGGGTGCCTGTTACCAGCTGGGTGTCTTCAGTGGCCGACGGACCTGCCACATATATGAGGTAGAGCTGGTGTGGGGTGAGACAGAGGTCAGACTGCAGGCATGGTAGGGCATGTCGCTGAACCCTGTGACCCCTGCTGACACTGGACCAATTAAGATCAGTTCCTGAACTCAGTGTAGGTTCTAGGGCAGTAAACGCAGTCCCTCCCCCAAAGTGAATTCTTTATCTAAAAAGATAAGATTTTTTGCTAGACCTGCTCCCAGCAGTGTGGAGTGGCAGAGTTGTGGGTGAGGAGTGAGCAGGAACTGGCTTCCCGAGGAAGCCCTGCCAGCCCGGGCCACAGGCTGTCCTCTCCATGAGGGGGCCGACGGCCTGGCGGTGTGCAGTGGAAGAGGCCTCTTACTGCTGTGAGTCGGTGTGTGAGTCTGCGTGTGAGTTGACAGTTACCACTGTCACATTGGACTTCATTTACGACCTTCCCTTCTTGGGTGGGCACCTGTAACCCAGGGCCGCACTTTGCTCGGGCGGAATTCCCCTGGGGCATGTGCAGAGTTTGATCCTTGGGGTAGCCTTGCTACTCAGTATAAGCAGAACCTCCATCCAGTTCCGGGCTAGTGTTCATGGGCTGTGCTCCTGACGCTCTTGCAATATTGCCACTGTAAGAAGAGGACATCGGGGCAATAGCTTGGTTAGTGGGTGCACCAGAGAGGAGAGTACAGAGACAGGTTCCTATACACCTGTGGGAGCACACACACAGGTGTGCAAACAGACACAGACATGCTCAGGCACACAGGCATTCACACTGACAGGCATGCAGGGGCACACAGGTGTATGCACATGTGCATGCCCTCCTGTGCACAGTGCTTCATCCACACTCTGCCCGGCTGTGTGAAGCCACGTGCAGTCTTAATGTGTGTGCAGCAGAAGGCTCCCAGGCTCGCTCTCATGAGCCCTTCTGCCAGGTCGGAAAGCCTACTTCAGTAAGATAACCACTTTTTAAGAAAAATGTAAGAACAGGCTGTCCCTTGAGCAGCCCCAGGAAGAACTGGCAGGAGCGCAGAGGGTGAGAGTGTCTGGCTGGGGGGGTTGGGGTGCCCTGGTCCCCTTGCAGGCTGCACGCTCCTTCCCCAGAGCAGACTGTTGTGCTTTTCTGTTAAAGGTGTGCAGCCCCCACTCTCGCCCCAGTGGGGCTGGCAGCTCCCCCAGGGCGGGAAGCAGTTCTAACCTAAGTCTCTGCCCTCAGACTGGCTGCTGATGAGCCTGCCACGTGGCCCTGTCCTGACCTCTGCTCTGCTGGGGGCTTTCTGGGTAGGAGTGTAATTCACTCCTGTAAATCTGTAATTCAGCAGATTTTAAGCCGTATTGTTCAAGTTATCAGTGAAAGATGATGATGTTCTGGGTGTGTCCTGGAGAGGGGGCTGCCTTGCTGAGGGTCCCAGGATGGGTCCCAGAAGGGGTGGTGATAAGGCCGAGCGGGGGAGGGGGACAGGTGGTGTCCCTGAAGGAGAGAGCTGGTAAGCCTGAGCACCTGGGAGCAGCTGCTGGGACCTCTCCTTTCCCTGGAAGTGCAGCCACTGGACCAAGGCTGCAGCTGGACAGGGTCTTTAACAGCAAACTGGGTCGCACTTTCAAAGAGTGGTGAAAATTCACAGGCTTGTGCTTATAGACACCTGACATGCTCCTGTGTGGTGAATGGTTTCTTGTGCTTCTGCTGGGCTTATGTAGCCCTAGAAATCACTTGTGCTCTCTAGGCCTCGGTGGAAGAGGGTGAACATGGCCCAGTCTCCTTGTCACACTGATGTGTCCTGCACACGCACATTTGTGGAATTAAGGCCACCTTACAGTAGGCCCAGGAAGGAGCTAGAGGTTCACTGCCACTGCATCATGGAGAATTCTCACATCTCATTGAGTATTATAAAAGTGGAGCAGTTTAAGAGTTTGTAGATTGGTGGACTTCATAAGGAAAGAGAATTGGAAGCCTACAGTAGGTAAAAGTTTATACTTTAAAAAATGACCTGTGGCAGTAAAAGTTGATTTTAGGAGTAAACTATTAGCTGGAAAACATTCAACAGGTGTTTGAGTGCCTATTGTTCTAGAACTGGAGCGAAAGGGTGAACTGAAGGTGTCCCTGTAGAAGGGAACTTGCCCGCATGGACTGGAGGCCCCGCTGCCCACTGGGCTCTGGTTGGAGGCAGGTTGCTCTATTCCTCCGGCTTCTGGAGGCATTGATTCTGCCTTTTACGCTCTGTGTCGGTCTCATCAGGAGAAAAGTGCATGTGTACACATCAGTTAACGTATTTGTGCCTTTTTTTTTTTTTTTTTTTAGGCAAAAGTAAAGAAGCAGAAATAAAGAGAATAAACAAAGAGCTGGCAAACATTCGATCAAAATTCAAAGGTAAGTGTGTGTGGCCTCTGTCATGAAATGTTGTAAATTTCTTGTAGGAGAGGCTTAATCTCTTAATGTTGTCTTTTTTTTCCACTTCAAACCAAAGTTAAGTTCTTAGTACAGTTATTGTCATGGTTAGAGTTTAAAAGTGTTTTAAGTCAAGCTGTCAGTTATTCTTGAGTCATTTGATGTTTGCTCAGAGTAGATCAGCTAGCGTGGCCCCTTCCCAGACCTGGGCTCTTCCGGGAGCTGGAGGACGCAGCTCTAGACCAGTGACCTCTATGAAGACTTTGGCCCCACGGGACCCCGAGTGTGCGAGCCAGCAGACCCACACGTGGGGCTCCGAGGTGTAAGCTTGATAAAGATGTGCTCTGCCCGAGGCCACTAGGTACTTTGTGGAGTTTTATCAAGTGATCTGAGCACTTCCTGTGTTGGAACGTTTCTGCTGTGTTGATAGTGTTACCTAATCCACTCATTTTGTGGGGAGTACACCTTTAGAAGATTGGTAAAGTGTCATTCGCAGTCTTTAGGACATATTTGTGAAAGGCTGGTTAACCCTTTAAGCCTTAGTTTTTCAGGTAATTTTTACAGGTTTGAGGCTTTGTTCAAATCTCTGCGCTCACTTTAGAGACTGGCTGAAAGTTCTGAGGAATTGTGGGTGGAGGAAGAGGCTGGGAACAGCTCCAAGGAGTCATGGGGACAGGAAGACAGGACTGCTTGGCAGAGGTGCCCCTGTGCTGCCAGGTGATGGGACAGCTGATGGGGTTCAGGAAGGTTAGTGACTGGAGTGTGCCACACTGGAGTGTGACTGACCCCCGGGGAAGTACCGTGTTGCACTTCACTGGCTTTCAGCCAGGCCCGAGGATGCTCCCAAAGGCTGGGAAGTGCCTGAAATGGTTTGTGAAGTGGTTTGCTTGTATATGTGTTTTTGAGGGAGAGGCCTATAACTTTCATTGCTTTAAAGTTTTTTTGTTTATCTCTTCTTACTAAGAATTTTTTCAAAGCAGTATTATGTTCACAGCAAAATTAAGAGGAAGGTACAGGAATTTCCCACGTATACCCGGCCTCCCCATGCACAGCCTCCCTGTTAAGGATGTCCCCAGGAGATGGTGCCTTTGTCATAGTCAGTGAGGCTCCATGGACCCATCCTCACCTGGAGCCCACAGTTGACATCAGATTCACCTTGGTGTCATGTGTTCTCTGGATGTGGGCAAATGTGTAGTGACAGGTACGTGCCATTATGGTATCACTACTTTAAAAATCCTGTGTGCACCCCCTCCCCCGCGCCCGCCAGCCACTGAGCTTCCCGCGCCTTTCCCAGAGTGTCGTGGAGTCGGCGTTCTGCTCCCTGTCGCCCTTTCGGGTTGGCTCCCCTCCCTTAGGAACATGCATCTGCGTTTCCTCCATGTTTTTCGCGACCTGGTAGCTCATTTCTTTTTAGCCCTGAATTAATATGCCACCGTCCGGGTGGACCCCAGTTTGTCCATCCATCACCTCCTGAAGGACGTCCTGGTTCCTCCCCAGTGTTGCAGTTGCGAATAAAGCTGCTGTAAACATCTGTGTGCAGGTGTTTGTGTGGGTGTGGACGTAAGCTTTCAGCAACTCTGGGTAAACACCAAGGCGCAGAGTGGCTGGATGCTATGGCGAGAGCATGTTTGGTTTGGCCAGAAACCTCCAAACGGTCTCGCCGAGCGGCCGCACCGTCTGCGCACCCAGCAGCAGTGGGTGAGATCCCTGCTGCCCGGGTGCCCCCCGCACCCGGCGGTGCCCGCGCTGTGGACGTGGGGCATTCGGGGGGCGTGCAGTGGAGTCTCCCAGTGGCTCTAACACGCACTTCCCACGTGGCCGACCGTGGAGCACCTGTGCTTGTGCTCACTGCTGTCTGTGTGTCTTCTCTGGTGAGGGGTCTGTGGCTTTTATTGCTTCTTGGAGGGAGGGCTCTCCCGTGGTGGTGAAGATCCCTGCTCAGATGCTTAGGAGCTGTGTCTCCTTGTCAAGTCACTTCCCCCTTCTGCATCTCTTCTGAGCTATAAAATGGGGTGCTGATGATCTCAGGCGGGGCTGTCCGTGAAGCAGACCCTGGGAGGACGAGGGTCCAGAGAGTTGCAGCGATGAAAAATGCAGGGAGGCAGCAGGTAATGGTGTGGCTCTGCCAGGGTCAGCGCCAGCTGACAGGGCGCTTTGGAGCACACACTACCTGTTCGAGGGGCCTGGCGTTGGGTGGGAACAGCAGGGCCCTCAATCACACCATCGCTTTGCAGTGGCTGGAAAGCCCAGGAAGGCAGAGCTGGCAGCAGCCCCCGGCTTTTACTATGGGAGGGTCTGTGTCTGCTGCCCTGCCTGTGTCCAGGCATGGAAATAATTGTAAATTCCTGGGTAGGACAGGAGCCCTAATACACGTGAATGGCAGTGTTATAAAACCTTCACGGCTGTTCAGATGGTAAATCTTCCAGCCACCTGTATAAATATTTTTTCCTCCACTTTCACACTTGTCTAAGAGTGTAGAGAAGAGGCTGCCTGTCGTTAACCAGTTGGCACTGATTGAGCTTGAGTATATGCCCCGAATAGTAGCAGATAAGGGGAACCCACCCTTTGCCTGCAGAAGTGTGTGCTCTGCTCTGGGGGACTTCCACCCCCTCATGGTAGATTAGATGCTAGATCCGTGCTGTCCTCTAGAAATACCGTGGGAGTCACATACAGACACATGCCATTCTGAATTTTCTAGTACTCACTGAGAAACTAAAAGTGAATTTTAAATACATTTTATTTAACCCAGTGTACCTAAAATGTCACTACAATATGTAATCAATAGAAAAAGAAAACACAGGTATTTTATACTTTTTCACACTGAGGCTTTGCATCTGTTGTGTGTCTTGCACCTGGAACCTACTCGTTCTGCACCAGTCATGGTTCGCTTGGCTCAGGTGCCACAGGATGAAGCCGCCACATTGGACTGGGCAGACTTAGACCAGCCCTTTCACTGAAAAGAACTTAAAAAGAGGCCCTGGTGGGATAGTTTAGTGGGTGGAGTGTTGCTCCATACAGCAGGGGGTGCGGGCTTGATCCCCAGTTGGGATGCATATGGGAGGTAGCCAGTCAATGTTTCTCTCTCATAATGATGTTTCTTTCTCTCTCCCCCTCTTCTCTCTATAAAAATCAATAAAAAACATACCCTCGGGAGGATTAAAAAAAAAAGAGACACAATATGAAAAAAACCTTGAAAGCATCACTGAGTAAGAACAAAGTTGCCGGGCCTTATCCAGGAGGAGGTCCCTGCAGCGCACGCAGGTACTGCCCTAGGCTGCTTGTGCCAGGACAGCATTGGCTGACCCCAGAGACACAGCCAGGGACCGGAGTCCTGTTTCTGCTGGCCTTGGAAGTCTCCAGCGTAGTTATCAGCCAGTGACTTTGCCCTCCAGGGGCATTTGGCAAGATCTGGAGACATTTTTTGGTTGTCTCAACTGAGGTGGGAGGGTGCTACTGCCACCTAGTGGGGGGAGGCCACGGAGTCCGCTCAACCCCTTCCAGTGCACAGGACAGCCCCCAAGCGTGAGCAGCCCAGGTTAGAGGGGGAGAAAGTCAAAGCCCAGAGCCCACCCAAAGTAGAGACCCCCTTCTTTCCACTGTGAACTGAGAGCCCCAAAGGCAGTGCCCTCAGGGCAGGAGTCATTTGAAGGGGGTGAGCTCCATCACGACGCAGTGGGGCGCCGAGCACCTGGATGCTCGCGGAACCTCATCTTACACTGAGATGAGGGGAGAGGACGGTCCTTTCGGGGGCTGTCACAGGGCTGCAGCGGGCTCCTGCAGCAGGCTCTCCCAGCACGGCACCCAGCACAGAGTCATAGGGGATCAGGCCCGTGCAGAGACAAAAGGCAGTCCCAGAGACCCGGCACCAGACGCAGATGATGGTCAAGAACAAGGTTGACCGTGTTAAAGATGTAATCAGCAAACCTCACAATTTCAGCAGGAAACTTGGAAACTGTCAAAGGTGACAGAGCAGATTTTGAAATAAGAACAAATGGGGGCTTTAGAGCCGAGACCTTCAGTAGCCCCATGTAGAACTCTGTGGGTGGAGGTGATGACTGACGTGCTTGGAGACGGGTTGGTGTTCTGAGAGGTGGCTGAGGAAGAGCCTGTCCTGAACCCCTTGCTCTTTCTCGCTCTCTCTTGCCTGTGTTGTGGCCTCGCCCTGTCCTCGCGCTGCTCAGCCTGGCACAGTGTCCTGCTTCTGTAAGGGCCTGCCGAGGCATGAGCCTTAGAGGAGCTGATTGCTGGGGGCACAGACGGGGTGCCTTTGGGGTGGGTGGCCCACTGCTCCTCATGCCCTCTCCTCGTATCCACCAGCAGGACAGGGCCATGGCTGTCACTGTCGATGCCCCCGTCCACAGCTCAGAAAAGCCTTGGTGTGAGTTTCAAAGTGCTGGGATTAAAAACCCATCTAGCCCAGTACTGAAACTGACATGTTGAGGACTGTCTCAGGCTGGCCCAGCCAGGAGAGGAACCACACTGTGGGCTACAGGGGCATTTATTGTGAAGCACATTGAGCTCTAGTAAGGGTGACAATAAGACACAGGAGACAGTGTGGTCTCCAGGGCTGAAGGAGACCCCTAAGAAGGACAAGTTTGGAGGCCCCTCCTTGGAGGAAAAGGGCAGCTCACAGCCTGCTGGAGAAAGCGGAGGTGGCTGGCTTGGCCAGGTCAGGCACTGGCCAAGGGCGTGTGCAGAGAGCGGGGCCCTCCTGTGGGCAGTTGAGTTGCTGATGTGGGCAGCAGTCTGTCTGGGCACAGGGGTCGTGTTGAGAGGGCTGTGCAAAGATTCCGGCCAGGGTGTGGTCAGGGTGTCGCTGTGGGACCACAGAGGTCTATCCTCTTCCCCAGCTGCAGGAGGGCTTCTTCCTCAGCTGTGCCTCTCCAGTGCCGTCTCCTGGGACAGTGAAGGAGAGGTGTGCAGGGATTCTTCCCGGGGCTCATGCACCCAGCGTGCATTTGGAGCCGACTGGTGGTGCTCAGGTCCGGGGTCCTGATGATAAGTCTGTAGCTGGGAGCGGCCTTGGGCTCCTGTGGAATGAAGAGCGAGGCTTGGCGGTGCCCTGCGGTGGCCGCCAGGATCCTGGGTTCCTCTTGCACACTGCACCCTGGGCCTTGCTCCCGAGGGGCAGGGGACGGGGCTGGGAGTGTGTGTGTCGGGGGAGGCTGGTGGAGCCAGTGTGCGTACTTTCTTGATGGAAATGGACATCCAGGTTGTGTGTGGTGAGCAGAGCTTTTGTTCCCAGACCTGTCACGGAGCCTAAAGGGCAGGTGGTCACGGGGGGCAGTGGGGCAGAGCCCTGAGTGTCTCAGAACACGTGAGCGGTACCCGAGGTAGGATGTCTTCATGTTGCTCTCGAGCTCCTAGGTGACCCTGCCACTTGGTCCATAGCCTTTGGAGTGGCTGCTACTGGGGGCCATGTCTGGGAGGGCTGATGGTTCGAAACTTGCTGGGGAAGCCCCGGGGTTACCGTGAACCAACACAAGCAAGGCAGCTTGCAGCCAGTGTTTACCAGGCCAAGCCCAGGCCCGGTGGCCCCGGCCTCACTCTAGCACAGGTCTGGCAGTGCATGGAGCTGCTCCTCAGGCCCCAGTGCCAAAGCCCCTTCGCTTCCCCACTGAAGCTTGGGTGCCACGGACGGAGAGGGCTGGCTTCTCGTGGTGGCTGCTGAGTCACCGTGAGACCACCAGCCTCCCTGGGTTTCGCCTCTACAGTCTGCTCACAGTCGACCCCAAGGGAATACTGTACACTTTTAAAGTGACCCTAGAGCTTCTGGTGTTTATAGTGGCAAAGCCACTTGGGCCTCTGAAAGGGGCATTTTATGTTCTGCAGGCAGCATGGCTGGAGTGTGCCGTGATGTCTGGTGAGGGCTGTGATTGGGGTGGAGGAGGGGAGCCCTTCTGGTCCTGCTGTGAGGTTTTGTGGAGGGTGATGTGCCCTAAGGCTGACGTGAGACAGAAGATAATGTGGTGCCCATCTGCCTGATGAACACGCTCATTTAGGAGGTTGTTAATGTGTTGCTGTAAGGCAGGGCGGGCTCCAGGAGCCCTGGGGACTGTGGCAGGTTGGGGTGTGGCCCTGATGGTGCCTGCTCAGGGCTGACCTGTCCTGGGAGCCCACAGCCCAGGCTTCAGGTCTCCTGTTTCTGCAGTTTAGGGAGACCAGACATCTGGATTCTCGGGTGCACCCCGCTGTGCAGAGATGCCATCCGTGCCTGGTGCAGGGCCAGCATGTGTCTGGTGGGCCGCCCCCCTGCTGGAGGCGGCTCCCACGCCGCCTGCCTCACTCCTGCTGTTGAGCTCTCGGCTTCCCTCCTAGGTGACAAGGCACTCGATGGCTACAGTAAAAAGAAGTACGTCTGCAAGTTGCTGTTCATCTTTCTCCTGGGCCACGACATTGACTTTGGGCACATGGAAGCCGTGAACCTGCTGAGCTCCAACAGATACACGGAGAAGCAGATCGTGAGTATTGCTTCAGGGTGGGGCGTGGGCAGGATGGTGTCGAAGAAGGGGCTCCTGGCACTGCACCTCCTGATCAGCGCTGCCTTCCGGGGGCTCTCCCTGGGCGAGGGTTTTCTGATGCTGTGGCCATTCATTTCTTTACAATTTCCATGCAGTCTGGATGTTTCCGTGGGCGCAGACTGGTACTGCATGTGTCCAGCTGTCACGTGACGGCCCCCATGAGGTCTGCCTCAGAGGGAAGGGAAGGGTATCTTCTCCCCACAGCGCACCTAGTGGCCCCTTGCCCAACTTCCTGTTTCTGGAATGGGCACTGCTCCCACACGGGCTGGCTTCTGCTCTCAGGCACCTTCCCAGGAGGCCCTGGTCATCTTGGAGCAACACTGTGTCTTCACACGTTCTCCAGTGTCACCAAGTGACACTTCCCTCTGTTTGCCCAAGGGCTTAACTTATAGAAAGTAAAATCATCCCTGGTGTCAGGAGTTCTGTTTAGTAGTAGTATTTACTCAACAAGAATTGGTGTTTGTCATGGACCGAGCTGTGTGCCAGGGATACCCCTGGAGATACAGTGACCCAAAAGCAGGTGTGGACCCAGTGGAGAGATGGCATCAGACACCCCGTGAATAGAGAATTACAGCCTTGGCCTGTGCCCAGCGGCAACCCGGAGAGAGGGGCAACCAGGAGAGAGGGTGCCCTGGGGAGGCCCCCAGCTGAGACTGAGGGCGAGGGGTTGAGGGGGGGTGACGTGGGTGGAGCAGGAGGCACCAGCCACGGGCATGTGCACTCTGGGCGGGCCGCACTGGAAGGGCAGAGGTGCCGTTGTGAGCCTTCCTCCTGAGGCCCGACGAGCTGAGGAATCACTGTGCCCCGTGCATGCGGAGCGGATGGGCTGTCGGGTGACATGGGCCAGGTGGAGGGGGGACGCTGGGGTCACAGAGACAGCAGTCAGCTGGGATTCTGGAAATAACCAGAGGTTTTAGTTACAGTCCCCTCCTATTCAGGACAGCAGCGAGTCTGGGTTTCTCACGCACGTCAGCAGATAAATGAGTGGGACTGGTTCCCGTGGGGACATCTGATTGCCTCTTAGGTTCATCCTGCAGGACTTGCTCATGGCAGAATCAGAAGCAGAGACCCAGCTTCTGTAACAGGCGTGGCGTTTCACCTGGTGCAGACGGGCGCTTCCCAGCTCTCAGGGTGCGAACGTGCCAGAGGCTGCTTGTGTCTGCATGGGGCCGCCAGGGACCTTGGGCCCACATGGGCCTGGATGGTGCTGAGCTTTCTGCTCTCTTTGTCTTTCGGGCCCAGGGATATCTTTTCATCTCTGTGCTGGTGAACTCCAACAGCGAGCTGATCCGCTTGATCAACAATGCCATCAAGAACGACCTGGCCAGCCGGAACCCCACCTTCATGGGCCTGGCCCTGCACTGTGTTGCCAACGTGGGGAGCCGCGAGATGGCCGAGGCCTTCGCCGGGGAGATCCCGAAAATCCTTGTGGCTGGGTATGTGTGTTGTGATTTGTTCAAAAACGTCTCTCTCACGCTAAATAAATCAAGTGTGTAACTACTTGAAACATTTACAGAATGAGCTAAGTCTCTATGTTTCATGTAGTGGGAGACAAGAGAGTTCAGATGTCAGGTGAGGTCCAGACTGGCCTCCCCTCCCCCCGGCCAAGGACAGCCAAATCAGGAAGTGGCTGCAGCCTCACACAGGCCGCAGAAGAAGGGACAGTCGTCCTGTGATGTGCAGCACCTCTTCTTCCCCTTTCCCCAAGCGTGCCGAGGAGAAGGCCGCTCCCCAACCCCTGAGAATTCTTTGTGAACCACCTCCCCCCTCTGAACTTAGGGAGATGCTGCATGGGGTTGAGCAGGCAGCTCTTGGAGAGTTCAGAGTGGTGCTGGGCCACCCTGGGCCCCGGGGTGTGGGAGGCAGGGTGCTCCTCATGTTCTAGACACTGTTGAGCTTGGACACTACCTGGGAGTCATGTGCACGGGACACGCCTGGTTGACAGAGGACCCCAGCCCAGGGCGCTTCCTCAGGACTCTGAGACCAGGTCCTTCAGGACAGCTGGCCATGGGAGCATGGGAAAGATCCTCAGAGGGCACGTGGGCGAGGGCAGAGGATGTCAGCAAGTGCACCCACCCACATTGGAGCAAGGGGTCTAGGCCTGTGCTTCTCAAGGGCTGATGTTGCCCCAGGGGACCTGGGGCAGAGTCTCAGCACATTTGGTTGTCACAGCAGAGGCTGTTCTACTGGCATCTGCTAGGGGAGGCCAGGGATGCTGCTCTGTGTCCTGCAGTGCACCTGACAGGCTGCATGGCAGAGACCTGGGCCCATGTGTCAGCGTGCTGTGCGGAGCAGCCGGGGCTAGACCGAGTGCAGGAAGCACAGCCGCAGGGTGGCCATGTGAGCTCTGGAGGACTGTCACAGGAGAGTCACAGCAGGGGAAGATGGAGGAGTCAGGCAGGGAGAGACCACTCGGTCACAGCAGGGAGAGCTCGGTGAAAATAAGAGCTCCAACGCACAGCCCAGAGATGGGATGGGGCGAGCACAGGAGGGAGCCTTGCACAGCCGAGGAGGCTGGAGGGGAGTCCAGGGGGCACCGCCACGCACAGGTCATGCAGCCTTGGCGGGGCATGTGCAGGGGCTCTGAGAGCGCAGCACTGGGACGGAGAAGGACTAGAGATGGTTGGAGTGGACTGGGGTGGGGCTTGTCCACCAGAGGGAAGCTGGAGAGGATTCGGGCGCAGGGCTGCTCCCCACTGTGGGCAACACGGCAGCCCAGACCCCTTCCCCCGTGAGGGCAGCCCAGGACTAGCGCGGCTTCCTGGACCTTCTGCCCTGCGCCCTGGCCCCGGCCCGCCCTCTGATGGCAAGTACGGGGGTCTGAGGCTTCTGCCTGCAGTGGCTGTGGCTTTGTTCCCAGCATTGGAACCATGCCTGCTGCCTAGTAGGTGCTTGGTAGATACCTGTTGCACAGATGAAATGGAGAGCCGACAGAGGTAATCCCTGAGATGAGTTCAGAGGAAAACTCAGGAACAGGCCCCCGAAATAAGGATGGGCCTTGTGTGCAGCTGGGGGGCAACGGAAGGGCACGGAGGGACATGTGGGGATGAGCCCGGACCAGAGGAAGGGCAGGCAGGGAGCCGAGGAGCCACGCTTCCGGATGAGGGGCCTGCGGGCCACCTGTCCCCCCCACACTGAAAGGCTGTGGCAGTGTGACACCCACCAGCCCCCTCGACCAAGGTGGTCGACTCCTGAAATCCAGCTTTACTGCAACTTGGGAGTGCTCAGGAGGGCGGTGCCCGGAGGCGTGGAGCGGGCAGGAGGTGGGCGCGGGGCGGATGTGTGCCTGCAGCTCTGCGAGGACTGAGGCCGGGGGGGCGGGGGGGGCTGCGGTTTCCCTGGGTCCCCCTGGAAGTCGATGCTGCACTTCCTGCTCCTCGCACGCACATTCTTGCTGAGAAGGGCTGCGAGTGATGACTTTGGAGCCCTGCGGGAGCTGAGCAGGGGGTCTCCCCACATCAATCAGGACTCGGGGTTGTGAACATGGAAGGAAGCTGGCTACCCTAGGCCAGAGCTGTTCCTGCACGCGCTGGTGGCGTTGACGGCAGACACCCTGCCGGCGTTGTCAGCCACCGAAGCCCATCGCTCAGACAGAAGCTCAGCAGTGGGCATGGTCTGCCTCTCTTGGTGGGAGTGGTCTGTCCAGAGCGGGACAGGCCTCCCCTCCTGCTCCCCAGGCTGTTTGCAGCCCAAACAGGATTCTTTTCTTATGTCGTTCTTCTTTGCAAAAGAATAGGGGGTGGTTGTGGTTTGGGGGTTACCTGTGTTGGGTTAGACTCGTTTAGGAATGGAAAAGCCAAAAGGGAAGTAAGCTGTAGAGAGCCCTCAAACCCTTTCTTTCCTGCAGGCAGACTGGAGGGCCTAGAGCCTTTTGAACGCTGGCTGGTGTTCCGACAGCCCTGTGCTGGGGACAGACAGAGCTGGGGACAGGCTGCATCCTCTGCCAGTGCTCCAGCCAGGACAGGGCCCCTCCTGGGGTCTGCGGTGGGCCCCCCAGTCTCCCGGTGCTCCGCAGCGCTGAGGGCAGGCAGGGACTGGCACCTGCCAGTCGGTTGCTTTGAAGACGGGAGGGCATCTCCAGGTGGATGGACCGTTGCTTGCGCACAGCCACATAGCCAGGGGCGCCTCCAGCGGTTGGGGCGCGGTAGAGCTGGTCCTTCGGAGGGGGGTAGGCAGCAGGGAGTGGACTCTCCCTGGGGGTGAGCCGGGCGTGCAGTCCCTGGAGGCGGCCATGTTCAGCAGACCCCCACGCAGGGGCGTGTGCTCGGCCACCCCAGAGGCTGAGGTGCCCCGGCTCTGCGTGTCCCGCAGCTTGCCCACTGCCGCGCCTCTGCCGTCCTCTGGGTGGGTGTTCCCCTGGGGCTATGGGTCCTGCTGGCTGTGCTGCTGAGTGACTCCTGTGTCTGTCTTTCAGAGACACCATGGACAGTGCGAAGCAGAGTGCCGCCCTGTGTCTGCTGCGCCTGTACCGGACGTCTCCCCACCTCGTTCCCACGGGCGACTGGGCGTCCCGAGTGGTGCACCTCCTCAATGACCAGCACTTGGTAAATGCCTCTGACCAAGAGTCACCTTTGCAGGAATGTCTGCCAACGTGGCTCCGTGGGGCGCTTGTGCAGTCAGGGCAGTGCCAGCAGCGCAGCTCTCGAGCCTGGGAGCGCCCTCTTCAGGGGGGTGCATCAATGTGGCGTCTGGCTCACCCAGAACTCGGCACTGGGGACCTCCTGCGGGCTGCGCTGCACAGCCGAACAAGACAGAGGCCACGTCTCCTGGAGATGCCCTGTGCAGCGAGGGCATTCCCAGTGCGGTGGGCAAGAACGGGGCGTCTCGAGTGGCTCAGTGGCTCTGTTAGATGTCCACACTGAGAGGGTGCATGGGACGTGGCACTGGGAGGCGAGGTCATACAGGAGCAGGGGTTGGACACAGGGGCTTTGTCCTGCCTGATTTCTGTTGTATAAATGAGAGAATCAAACTTTACGACAAACAGGATGATTTTCCTGCTGAGGAGAGAGTATGGACATGTTAGCTGGTTAGTATGATTTTTCCCAGAAGAGAAATCTACCTTAAAAATCAAATTGAAAATAAGTGATCATTACCTGGAGATTCAGAGGCGAGAGCTTGCTGTGGTGTGATGGCCCGTGAGCTCACCCTGGGAAGGCGTGTGTCTGGACAGGGCAGCCCCTCCTCAGAATGGAGCAGGTGTCTGCGGGCAGAGCTGTTGGGAGAGGGGGCGGGCCTGAGCCGGAGGCCAGGGACTGCGGCTACACCTGCCAGCCATCCTTGCTGGGTCACGCCGGGTCAGACTCCGCCCGTGGGCTGGGAGGCTTCAGCTCTGAAGTCGCCCCTCAGGGGAACCCCATGAGGCAGTGGGGCTTTTCCCAGTTTTGCAGATGAGGAGACAGAGGCTCAGAGGGGTTAAAAAGCTTCATGGAGATCTGGGCCTGAGCCAGAAGTTGGTAAAGGCTCAGAGCTGGGGCCTGGGGCCCCCTGCTGTCCCAGAGCCCCGGTGTTGCACGAAGTGGGCAGAGTGCAGGTGGGGCCCAGGCGGGGCCCAGGCCAGGCCCAGGCCAGGCACCACGGCTTCCTCTGGGCACTGCACTCTGTGCAGATGCCATTGCTCAAGTGCATGGATTTCAGGCACAGGCCGTCCTGCTGCCTTGTCAGCCACACGGCTGACAGGCACCTGCGCCCAGCTTCTTCCCTACCAGGATGCCTGCAGGGATGCAGGGACAGCTAGAACCTGGGTTCAGTGGCCCAGAAGCTCCAGTCAACTCTTGCTGGCAGATTGCCCGCTTCAACCCACGGAGGCTGGGTGAAACTGGCCAGGCCCCAGACACTGTGGGGCCGCGGCAAGCAGCCCTCTGCTCTGGTGGAACCTGCGTGCTCGGCTTGGAGTTTGTGGGAGCTTTCTGTCTCTGTCTCTCTCTGTGGCCCAGGGAGGCTTTGGCACTTACCTTGCCCACCAGGGACAGATATGCTGGTCAGCGGCTGGCTGGTGCGGCTCTCACGTCCCCCTGGCAGCTCAGGGACTGCACAGCGAGGCTCCAAGGAGGGTCCATGCGCTGATGGCTCCTGCCTCTCTGCTCCGGTAGTCAGGCGGGGCGGGGGCACTTCTGATCCCGGGGCAGTTTCTGAGTGGACTTTGTTCACATCTTCACTGTGAAGTAGTGTTGTTCAGCTTATCTTTCTCAAATTTGTGAGAAAGCATCTTTACTTAACTGAAATCTTCCCACAAGAGCCACGAGTCACTGGGAACGACCACGGCTTGGGCTGAGTTGGTAACCGAGGTGCCCTGTGCTGCCGGGCAGGTCCCAGCGGGGAGCAAGGTGCCCCATCTGCCCGGTGCTGCTTTAGGGACGTCCCTATTGCTGTCAGATCCGTGGCCTGGGCCGCTATCTAAAAGGGGCTTGCCCTGGCCGGTGGCTCAGTTGGTTGGAACATGGTCCTGTGCACCAAAGGTTGTGGGTTCGATCCCCAGTCAGGGTGTGTGGGAGGCAAGCAATTGATATTTCTGTTTCTCCCTTTCTCTCTAAAATAAAAACATATTCTCAGGTAAGGATTTTAAAAGAAAAGGGGGGCAGAATGGGCTATTTCCATTGCTTTTCTATAGCCTCACTTTTGGGCTGGAAAGACTCAAGTGAATCTAAAGATAATGCTTCTCTCCATAGTCTCCTTGGGCTGATCATAAAGTGGGGCAGTGGGCACAGCTGTCCATGGGCCAGACAGTCGACTGGGCGGACGGGGCGACGGGGCAGGTGGGGACTGGGGTGTGGAGCTGCTGCCACCTTCGCCCTGGCAGGGGGTAGGCTGGAGCTTGCCGGGCAGTTGGCAAGAGAAGCTGGATAGAGAAAACCACCTGTGGGCGCCATCTTTTCTTTACAGCATCAGGTGGCCTGTGGGCTGCCAGTTTGTTGTTCTTAAAGTTTTATTGGAAAAATGTGTTGAAAATGAGAGGTCAGCTTTGGGTATCTTGACTGGAATCGAAACACATGCTGTTCGTGTGTCCTTCTTTCAGGGGGTGGTGACTGCTGCCACGAGTCTCATCACCACCTTAGCCCAGAAGAACCCAGAGGAGTTTAAAACCTCCGTTTCTCTGGCCGTCTCCAGATTGAGCAGAGTAAGTCTGTGAATGGGGAATGGAGCTCAGGGTGGGTTTTGGTCTCAGTTATTTTATGCAGTTAATACATTAGTTCACCTTTTAGAATGCAGCACAGTTGGTTAGCCTTTCTTTCAGCTTAGAGTCAGTGGAGAGCTGTCCCATCTGTGGGAAGGGGCCCAGAGCAGAGTGGCCCAGCTCCAGGCTCTCCCCCTAGGTGGGTGGGGTCCCATGGGGGAGGCTCGGGGTCCCTCCTGTGGCAGGGGTTGCATCCTCACTGCTGCGGCCTCAGTGCTCGCTGCCCCTCCTTTGCTGCCTGAGCCCTCGGAACGTGTCCCTCAGCTCTGTGTGCTTTGAATTGTTTGTGAGTGGATCAACAGTCTGTGTTCTTGTATGTTTAAATGATTTGGTCAACACTGTGAAGTTGTCAGGTTTGTTTTGTGTGCTTTTCATTCGTTTTTGATGCTGTGTAGAATTTGAATATACCACAACCAGCTTTCTGAATGTGCTAGATTGTGACTTAAGGTGGCACATCTGGGAGCTTTGTGGGGTGAAGACATAGGAGGTGGGGAGGCCCTGGGCACGTGGTAGTGGACATGTAACGTCTTGGGGATAGCATCTGCCACTGGGGGCCATGTGGGACCGTGAGGGAAGCGTGCCCTCCGGCCGTGGTGAGCTCATGGCAGGGTGTGCGCGTGGCGGCCATGGGGCGCGGGGCTGCGGTCAGGACACTAGCGTCTCCCTTCTGAGGGCCAGGGTCTCCCTTTTGTGCCTCATTCACTCCTGGTCCACAGAGGGAAGACTGAGTTCTGTAGGCGCTGTAGAGTCCTGCGCCGAGAGCCGGCAGCATTGCAGGGTTATGTCCTGCAGGTGGGACTGCCCAACATGCAGGTTCCCTGAGTGGCGAGGGGCCGCTGCGGGCATGAGCCGGGAGCAGCTGCCCCTCCGCCTCTGGAGCACAGAGGAGGGTGTTGGGTATTCTCAGTACATTGAACGAGACAGGTTTTCAGTTAGTGCGCGACCTGCGGAGCCAGAGCCTCTGGCTCTGTGTGGGTCCCCGCAGTGGGGGCTTCTCCAGGGACAGCTGCCTGCAGCCTCTCATGCCTGTGTTGATTTGCAGATTGTGACGTCGGCGTCCACAGACCTGCAGGACTACACTTACTATTTTGTCCCGGCTCCCTGGCTATCAGTCAAGCTTCTGAGGCTGCTGCAGTGCTACCCGCCCCCAGGTATGGCCGTGCACAGGCCTCTCAGTCGGGCTCCCTCAGCCCTCAGGGTCGGTCTTTCGCTTGGTCCCTTTAAAAGCTCCTTTACTGGTGCTGGCCCCTGTCCTGTGGGTTCTTCTGCGATGTGGCCATGCGTCTCAACCAGCAGCTATGGAGAACCTGCGAGGTGGTTACAGTCTGGAATCAGCTCTACTTTTGTGTAGTTTCAGATCTGTGCAGGTTTCTGAAACCCTCTTAAAATAAAACTCTAAACCATTAGAAACTTTGTATCCTGAATGAAGCCATATAACCTCAACATACACCCGGATGTGTTGTCCTCAGGTTTCATTCTGAAAAGTTACTCATTGGATTAGGACCTAGGTACCTAGAAATAGGATTTCTTGGTTGAAGTATGACCGTGAAAATTTCTTTAGATACTCCCATTTCCTTCTGCAAAGATTGACTTGTTGTAACTTTTACACTTGAATCTAATTTGTTTTTTATACAGGGTGCTTGTGAATTTTAAGTAACCTCTACACTAAGTATCTTTTATATCTAACCACATAGCCTTGGTGTGGGCCTCCCCTGCACCCATCCCTCTCCTCAGCCCAGGAGGTCTTTCGGTGGGGCTGGCTGTCTCCCCGCCACCCTCAGACTCAGGCTCCGACCCGCCCCCCCCCCCCCCCCCCAGCTTCCTGCCCTGCGTCTCTGGGTATGGATTTCCTCCTCCTGCCCCCTTTCGCATGAGGCTCTGGCTCTCCCCTCCCTGTCTGACCTGCTTTAGTTTGGGAACAGCCGCCCACCCTGGTGCCTGTGGGTGCAGGTCCCTCAGGGTGTCTCAGGCCCTGGTCTGCGCCCCACTGCTTGAGGCTGAGGGGCTCGGGGCCTGTGGGACACGTGCCTCCAGCACCGGGAGCAGGTGGCAGTTTCCATAGCAGGGCCCCACAAGCTATTTTTGCTGTTCTGGTATTTTTGTTTCTTACTGTTTTTGGTCAATTGTTTCTTCTGGTTTGAGTAGGAATTTTAAAATTTCCTTTTGTTTCTTGTAACATTTTTTTAAATTTCTGTTGATAATAGCACATGAAGAAAAAATATTTTGTCTCTTTTTCCTAAAACTTTTATGTATCATGTGTTTTGTCCACATGTCTGAGATTTTATTTTCTCCTGATTTACGTAATCTGTTTCTCAGTAAAAGTGTTGTGTGTTATTTCATTGAAGTGTACGTGTAGTTCCCTGGCTGTTGAATTGTCTTATTTTAAATGGCTGCACAATTTGAATAGCCACCGTTTCTCCCCGGCTTGATGTGACTTGACACTCAGGACCTGAGGCGGGCAGCTGGGAGGGCAGGGTGGGCTGTGGGGGAGCTGGCCCGACGGCTTTCTGTCCTGCCCAGAAGACCCTGCTGTGCGAGGCCGCCTGACCGAGTGCCTGGAGACCATCCTCAACAAGGCCCAGGAGCCGCCCAAGTCCAAGAAGGTGCAGCATTCCAATGCCAAGAACGCCGTGCTCTTTGAGGCCATCAGCCTCATCATCCACCACGACAGGTGAGTCGACAGGCGCCCTCTGGCTGCCTCGCTCCCCACAGCAAGTTTGACCACGTGGCCCTCTCAAGCACAGGCACGTGCGCTCCCCCTCGTTGACATCAGGCCTAGTGGGTGACCCAGTGTCCAGGCAGCCCGCGGGCATTGCTCATGGCCTCGCCCTCTCCTCCAGCAGCGCCTGCCCCCTGCGTGGCCCCTCTTCTCCATCCTCTGACCCTCAGAGCCTGGATACCTCCCCGTGAGGGCCTCTGCTGTTTCTCCTGAGCGTCGCACTGCTGACAGGAAGGACGGGGCACTTGTCCGCGTGGGTCTCATTAGTGCTCCTGCGGCCCAGAGCAGCGCTCAGTGCTGGTGACAGGCCGCTGGGGAGTGTGGAGGTGACCGTGCGCGTCGGCGCAGCACAGAGAGGGGACAGGTACCGTGGAGCAGTGGGGGTGTGCTGCCCTGCCGTCTCTGCGCTGCTCCTGTCTTCGAGCTGCCTGCATGCAGCCTTGCGCATGGAGCTGCGTCCTAGATATCCCGTGAGAGCGACAGCGTGGCCCCGCGTGGGGCTCTGAGGCGGCACAGGGAGCACCACTGGCCACACACACCGGCTTCCAGCAGTCTTCCGCCGCACCGCCCCTCCACACACGCGCGTGCCTGTGACAGAATGCAGTCCGAGTCACACATCGCACGGGACTTTCCGTATCAGAGGAAGTCGTTGTGTCTTTAGCAGATGCATTTAAAGAGCAACAGCCTCAGGAGGGCCAAGTAGGGGATGAGCAGAGAGCTAACCCAATTTTGTGGTAATTGGTACTTAAATATTCACCAGCCTCTTTTCCATCCTTGTCTCCGCATTTACCCCTTCAGAGTCCTCTCATTGTCAGGGCTCTTGTTCGATGACTCTCCTGGCCAGGGCCCCTGGCTGCAGTCCTGTTTCTGGCCACAGCCTGATGGCAGCCCCAAGGTCCCTGCCATGCGCTTGGGACAGGGCTGCAAGGGCGACTGGGTTGTGAAGGCACCCTGGTTGCCAGCAGCTCTCTGGAGTTGGTGGGATTCTGCAGATGTGCTCGAAAAAGCCCCGGCGGGTCTTTGACTGTGGGCGCTACCAAGGGGACATAAAACTGACTCTTGGGTTTATGGTTAGGGCTTCTACTCTCCACTCGAGCAGTGCGGTGACTGAGCACGGCACGGCATGATGCTGCCGTGCCGATGTCTGCGTGGCCCCTCACCCATGCCTCCCGTCCCTGCAGCGAGCCAAACCTGCTTGTTCGCGCCTGCAACCAGCTGGGCCAGTTCCTGCAGCACCGGGAGACCAACCTGCGCTACCTGGCCCTGGAGAGCATGTGCACGCTGGCCAGCTCCGAGTTCTCCCACGAGGCTGTGAAGACGCACATCGAGACAGTCATCAACGCCCTGAAGGCAAGTGCACTCCTCTCAGGAACTGTCCTCACCCTGGGGGCACTGTGGGTGGGCGCAGCAGCCGGGGTGGCTGCCGGCCCAGGCCAGGTTGCTGCTCCGGGTGCACGGCTCCCCTTGGTGCTGCTGTTTCCGCCTGTGAGGCAGCCTCTGTCAGCTGCCACACCCGACACTGTGTCCTTCATGTGCCAGGGCCATAGTCAGCGTTTATAGCAATAGAGTTAGTTCTTTTTGGTAGAGAGGTACAATCTTTAGTCTTTGTCTCCAATAAAACTTACCCTTTGCGGAAGAAAATTCACTTTTTTCAAGGAATTAAAATTCCAGATTTTGAAGGGCCAAGTGGAGGCTGTCCATCCTGTTGTCACATGTGTCAGTGTCCCCGGGGCTCCCACTTGGTAGTGCGCAGAGGAGCTGGAGGCTGGTGGGGGCTGCCAGGCCCGCTGTCCTGCCCCAGGCATAGTCAGAGTAGGGAGAGGTCCGGCTCTGTCCCTTCATGTTTGCATGGCTTTAACGGACATTCGGGCGCTGATTTGAATGGGGGGCCCACAGGGTTTGGAGCGAGCCTCATGCTCCCCTGGGTCCCTTCTGGCCCTGGTTCAGGTGTGCGCTCAGTCCATGGCTTACAGACTCGCCCTGGCTTTTGCACGCCGCTCAGCACAGAGCTGGCGCTCCTCGGGCCGTCCTGTGCTGAGAAACGAATGTGCAGGCCTGGGGCTGTGCGAGAGCCAGCACAGCGACCAGCTCCCAGGCAACACGGAAGGTGCAGCCTGTGACCACACAGTAGACAGTGGCCTCTGACCCGTCCCTTAGGAGACAGAGCTGATTTCGGGCAGTGCAGGGGCGAGAGGGCCAGTGAGCTGCCATGTGAGGGGCTCCACCTGCCGGAGCCTGTGGGGTCCCCCAACTCGGATGGTGAGCGAGGAGAGCTCTGAGCTCCTGGTGGTGTCCTGCCACCAAGCCCAGGCCAAGCCCGGGGGTCGTCCTCGGCTCCTCACTCTGTGCCTTGTCCCCCAGACGGAACGGGATGTGAGTGTGCGGCAGCGGGCTGTGGACCTCCTCTACGCCATGTGCGACCGTAGCAACGCCCAGCAGATTGTGGCCGAGATGCTGAGTTACTTGGAGACGGCTGACTACTCCATTCGAGAGGAGATTGTGAGTCTTACGGCCTCATGCTGTCACCGGCCACAGACGCTTGTGCCTCGCAACTCAAGTGCCTCCTCAGTGCCTCTGGCTCTGTTCCACAGGCTTTGCTGAGAACCTACTAGATCCTGGATAGAAGCTCCCTTTGCTTTAGCTTTTTAATCCATGGTTTTGGTAAGGTTCTCAGTCTTGGGGCACTGCCCATGCAGTCAGGGAAGCCTCTGTAGCTCAGGCTCCACGGGGGCTTCAGTGGGTGTCGCCGAGGTCTGCCTGGATGCAGAGTCCCATGGGCAAGACTAAGTTCGGACCTTTGAGTTAATCCTTCTTTGCTTGGCTTGTTTTCCCAATATCTCTGTGGTATATCTAGGAAGAAAAGAATCTGAGCCCTGTTTACTACCTGGCAGCCTCAGTTTCCAGTGTTGTTTTGTCATCTGCAAAGAGGGTGCTCACACCCAACAAGCTGTCTGAGCTCAGCAAATACTAACGGTGTGAAAGATGGGTCACTTTACAGAGTCTGAGGCAATGAGTCCCTGTGGCCCGTGGCCAGCAGAGAGGCGGGCCTGTGCTGCGTGTGGTCCGTGCAGGTCTGGTATGGGTCTCCGCAGGCTCAGCGTCAACCTGCGGACAGAAGCTGGTGGCGTGAGCAGCCCCAGAGCCTCTCCATTCTAGAGGGTGGAGAGAGAGAGAAACATGGACTTGTTGTTCCACTTACCGATGCACTTACCGGTTGAGTCTTGTGTGTGCCCTGACCGGGGATCGAACCCACCGCCTTGGAGTATCAGGACGACGCTCCAACCCACTGATCCACCTGCTCAGGGTGAACAGACATGTCTTATTTGTCTTTCTGGGAGCAAAGTGCAGCTGAGGCCTCCTTGGGAGCTTTGTTAGCGAGTGTCCGGTGTCAGAGCTGGCTTGAGTGACTTGCTCCTGGGCTGGTGCTTCTGAGTGTGTGTGGCTGTACCAGGTCACACCCTCAGCTCTGTAGGAGCCACTAGTGAAGGCTGTTGCTGCCCTGGCCAGGCCAAGCACCAGATGCTGGCCCTTAGTGCTGAGTGACCGGGCTTCAGCGAGGAGCTCGGGGCTCCCTGGAGCAGAAGGTCAAGGCAGGCTTCTCAGATAGAGGAACTTGTGAGCTGAACTGGAGATCAGCTAGAAGAGAGGCTGTAGAGGCAAAAAGGGCGAGGGTGTGTGGGGGAGACGGGGTGTGTGGGGGCTGGGCCGCACGTCTAATCTGGACCCCTGGGGGTGCGGGGCCGGCTCAGGCACTGTGGCCATCGCAGGCGTGTCCTTCCTCACTGTTGCCTGGCTGCTGAGCAGAGACAGGCGTGGTCTCGTGTGTGACGGTTTCTTTAGGCCTTGCGCGTCAGTCAGCTCTGTGTTGGCTCTTAGGCCCTTTTAAACAATGAGCGGCAGTCCTTAGTTTTAATCATGTGAGGAGTGAAGCAGACACTGTTAGTCCCCATAGGTCCTCTGTCTGTCCAGCCAGGTGTGTCTGAGTGGTTGTACTAGCTGCTGGGCACCCCCACCCCCAGGTGCACGCATGCCCTGCCCTGCCCCCAGGGAGCCTTTCTGTCCATGGGGCGGGCACGGCAGGGGCAGGACAGCCGCCTGCTTGTGATGTAGCTGAGGATGGACGGAGGTGGGGCCTGGATCCTGGGGGCCTCAGGGCAGCAAGCTGCCATGGGGGCTGGGGACTCATGTGGCAGCAAACTGGATGAAGAGGGCGAAGGCGCGGAGGCTGCTGGGGGCAAGAGGGGCTGAGCACTGCAGGACAGAGACAGTGGGACGCGGGCCAGTGTCGTCCTGAGGGCCAGGCACACGGCTGCGGATGAGCTGAGGGCGGGGATGAGGCAGGTTCAGGAATGATGCTCTGGGTTGCGGGGAGAGCTGTGTGGAGGCTGAGGGGGAGGGCAGCGCAGACGGACGCGGTTCGGGCCCCAGCAGGCAGGGGTCAGGGCACGGTGGGGAAGGTGGAGAAGGGCGAGGTGGTGGAGGCAGTAGTGCCCACGTGAGGACGGGCAGCTCTCCAGGACGTGGTCTGGTGTGGGCAGCTGATGTTTAGGGCGGTCACTCTGTACAAGAAGAGGGTGACTCGGGAGGCCGGGGGCTGGTTTTGACCAGCCCAGTGCAGTTGCCCTGGGGCAGTGATGTGGCCTGCAGAGCTCTCAGGTGCATAGCGGGTAAATGAGCAGTGGGTCTTCCTTGGAGGGGTGGAAGGAAGCTGGGGAGAAAGGCAGGCTGGAACAGGAGATCCCAGAGAGTGTGGCCGCTCCATGTGCCGTGGGCAGGAGGGTGGACCAGGGCTGGCTTGGCTGTGTTCTGGTCGGGTCGGCCCTTGTGGGCTCCTGCCGCTGGGACCCGTCTCTCCTGCGAGCTCCTACAGGTGTCCTGTCGTGTCTGTTGCTGAGGGTGGTGTGGCTTCCCTCAGTTAAATTTGCAAATCTTAAACTGTCTGGGCTCCTTTGAGAACCAGTGGGAGTGCCCACAGCCCCGGCTGGCCGCGTGGGTTCAGTCCAGAAGCCCTGTGTGGATGCCCTGCTGGCGCAGAGCTGCAGGCACCCACCCTGAGCGGCTGCCCCTGCAGGTGCTGAAGGTCGCCATCTTGGCAGAGAAGTATGCCGTGGACTACACGTGGTACGTGGACACCATTCTGAACCTGATCCGGATTGCTGGTGACTACGTGAGTGAGGAGGTGTGGTACCGTGTCATTCAGATTGTCATCAACCGCGACGATGTGCAGGGCTACGCCGCCAAGACGGTTTTTGAGGTACCCAGCTCACCCGGGGGAGGTGCGCTCCTGGGCTGCAACTGCTGCCCTTCCACCTGCTGTTGACCACCCTTGGAGGGTCCAGGTCTTGTCCTGCTGACCCCTCTGCTGGACTCTCAGCTCCTTCTCACCCTCATCCTCATCCATATCACCAACCATGGGTGGGACACTCTTTGCTCTCGAGAGGCTACCTGAGCACCGTGCCCGGGCCTGGCATCTCGGGCTTGCCTCCTCGTGCATGAGAGCCCCTGGGGGCCCCTGGGAAGACGCTGAGAGGCACCGCCCACCGCCCCGGGGCCTAAATGTCAGCTTTGGGGAGCGTGGCTCTCGCCATGGGGCAGGATTGGCCATGTCTCTGCCTCTGGGGCTCCTCAGTGTGACAGGAGGGATGGGACTGGCACACCCCCATGCCCGCTCGCTGTCGTGCAGGCTCTGCAGGCCCCAGCATGCCACGAGAACTTGGTCAAAGTGGGCGGCTACATCCTGGGCGAGTTTGGGAACCTGATTGCTGGGGACCCACGGTCCAGGTAAGACGCCCCTGGCATCAGGGCCCATCTCGTCTGAGGCTGGGCCGTGCCCGCTGGTTCTCAGGCCGGTGGTCTGATGTGGCCACCGGATAGCCCAGGATAAGACCCCCTCCGCTCTGTTTCCCTGCAAGCTGCACAAGAAGCAGAGGTTCTAGTGCAAAATACAGATGTGGGCGTGGGGGTCACTTTGCCCCCAGAGGAAGCGCGCACTCACTGGACGGAGTGGCTCTGTCCCTCCAGGGGAACCCTTGGGGCCCAGGCTCAGGCTGCCTGCCAGGTGAGAAGGTGAAGGGCTCCTGCCCACCTGCTCTCCTTCCCGCCCCAGCCCGCTGGTCCAGTTCAATCTGCTGCACTCCAAGTTCCACCTGTGCAGCGTCCCCACCAGGGCCCTGCTGCTGTCCACCTACATCAAGTTCGTGAACCTCTTTCCGGAAGTGAAGCCCACCATCCAGGATGTGCTGCGCAGCGACAGCCAGCTGAAGAACGCTGACGTGGAGCTGCAGCAGCGGGCTGTCGAGTACCTGCGGCTGAGCACGGTCGCCAGCACCGACATCCTGGTAGGCCTCAGTGCGCCGGCCCCGCCCACAGCCGCGCCGCCGCGCCACCACACCGCCACGCTGACCCGCTCCTTCCCTGCAGGCCACTGTCCTGGAGGAGATGCCCCCGTTCCCAGAGCGCGAGTCGTCCATCCTGGCCAAGCTCAAGAAGAAGAAGGGCCCGGGCACAGTGACAGGCTTGGAGGAAGGCAAGCGCGAGCGGGGCGCCGACGTCAACGGGGGCCCTGAGCCGGCCCCAGCCAGCACCGCGGTGGGTCCCTCCCTGAAGCCAGCACCCTGCCTGAGCTCCTGTGCCACTCGGTCCCCAAGATTCAGGGCCAGCAGAGCGTTTGTCTTCGGGGAGAAGTTGTTGTTAGATAGACAAGTGTGTGCCGAGAGCCTGCTGGTGGCCCCAAGTGTGAGGCCTCCCCCGTCCTGCCCCTGGGCACCCCAGGGAGTGTTCTCCAGATAGGCCCTTGTCTGCCTCTCAGACCCTTCACACTGTTGTTGTCTGGGACCCATTCAGTGCCCCGTCCTCCCTGTCTGCCCTGTGTTTTGGAAAATGTGGCCATGTGCCTCTTCTGTAGGCTCGCCTCCTGTAGGAGGCTTTCCCTGCTCGGTCCTGGCTTCAGGTGGGCCCACCCTGTGCTGCTCTCAGGGGTTTGTAGGCCTGGACTGGACCAGGGCATGCATCCCTGCTGCAGGCGACTTAGTAGGGCCCTTGCACGTCTATGCAAGCCTGCCCTTTGACAGCAGCAGGGACAACGTTGTGCTGAGAGCGCCATGTTTCCTTGCTGTCCCCAAGTGGACTGAGAGCTCCTGGAGAGCTGGCACAGTGGCTGGCCTGCAGCAGTGCCCTCAGCGATGCAACCGGCTCCCCGGGACTGTGGGCTTTCTGCTCGCCCTGGAAGGCTTGGTTTCCTCTCCAGGATGCTGGTCCAAGGGCAGGAGTAATGCCACTTCCCGAAATCAGGTGGCCTTGGTGAGGACAAGCCTCAGAGGCCATGTGTGGTTTGCTGTGCAGAGTGTGCTTATGTCTGGTCCATGCTCCTGGGCAAGGTTCCTTGACGCAACCCTGCTCTGCCTGTGTCCCCTGCAGACTGTGCCCGCCCCTCAGGCCAAGGACATGGGAGCCTGTATTCAGACCTCCCTGTCAGGCCCCTCCCCTGGGCCTGCTGCTTTCTCTCCAGAGGCTCCCACTTCAGGCCAGCTCTCGGCGTGTCTGCTGCTGAGGCCCGCTCCGTGGCCCCCTCCGTGGCCCACTCTGTGGCCCAGGCAGTTTGACTTTCAGGACTCATTGGTTTTGGAGTGAATGATAAATGGATGCTTTGTCTCCCAGTGGTCATCATCCCTTCCATGGGGTTTTCTTTTTAAACCTGTGCTTTTGACCTTTGTCCCATGGGCAGGAGGGGCCCTGAGCCTGAAGGCCGTGTGGGGCTGTCGCCTCCCACGCTGCTGAGGCTACTTGTGAAGAGGTCCCGAGCGTCTTCCTGCTGCCAGAGGTGGGGACGGCCTGGGTTCTGAAGTGGTGGGGTCCAGGCGGTAGTCCCCACACAGGCCGTTCGCGAGCTGCTGGCATCACGCCCAGAGGCGTGGTGTCCGAAAGGGGAGACTCGCAGTGAGGGGGGCGTGTGGGCAGGGGTCACACTCAGGGCCCCTTCCCGGCTGCTGCCCAGGAGAGCCGCGCAGGCCCGCTGGCATGAGCGGCGGCCGGGTGTCTCCTTCCTGTGTGGTGGCTGCTCGGACTGTGAGTGGAGCCTGTTGAGGCGAGCGTAGAAAATGGGCTTTCACGTCTGTTTTTGACAGTCGTGACTGGCCTTTCTCACTCGACTTGTGTCATGTGATGTGCACACATGCTCACTTAGCCTTTCGGCCACACCACAACACCCAGGATGCAGTGGGCCTGGCACCCAGGCCTCCATGCTTGGCTCAGTGCTTGCTCAGTGGGAATCCGATGGTGTTAGCGGTGAGCTGCACTTTGAAAATGGGACTGAAACAGAGTTTCCATTCCGTAAGCCTCCTGGGGTGGGCGTGGGTGGGGGTGGGAAGGCAGGCCCCCTTCCTGGTCGGTCCTGGGAGAGGAGAGCTCCCTCCGGGCTGGAGCTCTCCTCTCGACTCCGAGAGGCGCCTGGCCAGTGTGCGCTCGGTAAGTGGATGTTCGTGGCTATGAGTGGACGGCCGCCCCTCTGAGTTGAGAACCTGCAGCTCAGGTGGCTGGCGTTCCATTAGAGACCCCCTCTGAATGGGGAGACCTGTGGGGGCTGGGGAGGTGGAGGCATGGGAAGCAGGACAGCAGGGGAGGGCCATCCTGGCTGGGAGTCTGTACTCACCAGGGGCAGCCCCCTGAATTGTCACTGAGCCTCCTGGTTTGATAGGAGAGCCAGTGAAGCTTCTCGATGCTGCAGAGGTGCTCTTCTTTGAAGCAGTCCGCTCCCTGCACGCGTGGCCCTGTGCCGCTGCCTGCCTGCGCATGGCTGCGTTGGCCGCCCGGCTGCCTGCCTCCAGGCAGGCTGGGGGCACCTGGGCTGCCCTGCACTCCTGGCCTGGCGTGGCTTTTTACTGTTGTGATGCTTTGCTGTCGCAGTGCGGAGTGCAACTTGTGCAGACTGAGCGCCAGGTGGGCTCCCCTCAGAGGTCTCCCCAGTCCTGAAGTGGGGCGGTGGCAGAGAGGCAGTGGGTCCTAGCCTGCTGTGCGGCCTTCTGGTGGGTCCTCCAACAATGGCCTTGCTTTTATGTCTGTTGTGAGTTTTTGGGCATGTATTTGACTTAATTGGATAGAAGAGGTTTCCCGCTTTAAAAAGTGCCTGCACTGTTTTGGAGGAACCAGCGGTAAAATCTGGCAGCAGTGGGCAGAGGGAAGAGGCCTCCACTCAGGTTGCAGGTGCGTCTGCCCAGGTGCCTCTCCTGCATGGTTAGCAGCATGGCGCCAGGCTGCCCGGGATCAGTGACCAGTCCTCCCCCGTGGTCAGCTCCAGGTGGTAACAGTGCAGGAAGGGGCGTTGTCACAGGCCGGGGCAGGGGGCACTGCTGGACGTCCCATGCAGACCCTCCCTGGGCTGCAGATGCATCTCATGATCCTTCCTTTGGCAGCTCCTCTGAGGCCTCCCCTTTGGCTTGGCCTGGGGGCCCTTCACACTGGGGATGCCCAGGCGCTTGAAGGAGCCAGGGCTGCCCCTGCTGCCCCCCTACGGGGCTCCAGCCTGTGCAGACCCACACACTCTCTGCTGGGTGTGCATTTTGTGATGCTTCCTGCATCTCCACCTAGAATTCATACATAGTGTCACCTACCTAGGTAATTCTTTAGAAATTCAGTGCAGGGCTCTAACTTACCCTGAAAGAGAATCGAACAGCTCTTTATGTGATTGTGGATTTCCACATGCCCGTGCTGAGCGGGGCTGTGCCGGGAGGCGGGAGCAGGCAAGGCCAGAGCCCAGGGACATGCCCACTCGCAGAGGGAAGGGCTTCATCCTCTTCCAGCTCACGGGGCCGTCATGTTCCTGGAGGTGAAACATTAATAGCAGTAACAGGACTGGCATCAGGATCTGGCCTCAAAGTTACACACTGACTTTTACCTTTGTGAGGGTCCAGTGGGACATTCAGGTCCTTCAGGATGAGTTTTCAGGGCAGTGTGGCTCACGTCCCTCGTTCTTGCCTATGGCGTAACCCCCGTGACCATCAGAACCCCACACATTTGATGGGTGAAACCCACAGGTGCAGGGTCAAAGGGTGAGCTGCAGCTGTAGGGCCAGAGCCGCAAGCAGGGAAGGAGTGAGACAAGAGCTTGGCCACTTGTGTCCCATGTCGTCAGTGTGAGAGTGATCTCAGGGCGGCTCTGTTCTTCGTCGTAGCCAAGGATCAAAAAGCAAGTAACCCTTTTTTAAGAAAAAAAAAAAAGTTTGTTGTGTAGGCTTTTAATTCCCGTCTTCTCTGTGAGACAGTGCGCAGCCACCGACTGCCCCGAGGGGCACCAAACAGCGCCTGCTTGCCTTGTCCTCTCTTCAGCTGACAGTAACATGCACCGTCTCTGTTCTCCAACCAGACGTTTCTTTTTGCTCTCTTTCATGACAAAATAGTTTCAGAAGTTGTTTTCATTCAAATAACATCTGTGAAAAGAGGGGGGTTATTTTTCCAGTCCTGCGAGACTGTGACTCAGCCTCCATCGTATGCTGGTCTTGAGGCCTGACTTGGAGTGCAGCGGCTGCTCAGAAGTGGCGGGGGGGCCCCTCACCCACTGACCACGCACCGCCCTGTCTGGGTTCTGCATGCCTGGAAGGCTCCATGCTGACCTGCCTTCCCCTGGTTTCCAGTCCACGCCTTCTCCATCGGCAGACCTCCTGGGACTAGGGGCCGCACCTCCAGTGCCTGCGGGCCCCCCGCCCTCCTCTGGCGGGCTGCTCGTGGATGTGTTCTCAGAGTCGCCCTCCGCAGTTGCACCTCTCGCTCCCGGCTCCGAGGACAACTTTGCCAGGTAGTTGGTCTCCTGCTTCCTGAGGACAGGGACCCTTTCTGCCCCCAACCCCAGCCAGCGGCCGCGGGCGGAGGTGCGGGGCCTGTGGTGCTGGGTGGGCTTGGCCTTGCAACCACCTCCTCCTTGGCGGGCTGTCATGTGCACTGAAGAGAGTCCCCGTCCAGGAGCAGAGGGGACCTGGTGTAGAGGCCGCAGGGTTGGTTGTCAGCTGTGCCTGGTGTGCATCTGACACTGACCACAGTGTCTCAGCTCTGCTCTGCCCGAGAGCTGGCTTCCATCTGCAGCTCTGTGCTCGCTCCCTGCACCCCTTTCCTCTCGGGTGTGGCCCTTCTCTGTGTCTGCCTTCTGGGTACCCAGATTTTTCTTAAGTAATATTCTTCAGTTGCTTAATTGCTGCTCTATCCCATAAAGTCTGTGTCCGAGGCTTCCTCTTCCTCCTGTGATCAGCTCCGTGGCTTTGAGGGATTCACATACTGCCCCCTCTCCCCTAGGTTTGTCTGTAAAAACAACGGTGTGTTGTTTGAAAATCAGCTGCTTCAAATTGGACTTAAGTCTGAATTTCGGCAAAATTTAGGTATGTGTTTTTAATTATTTAATGCAAAATGCAGATGAAAACCACAGTGCGATACCAACTCATGCCTTTTGGTGGCTACTATCAAAAAAGCAAAATAACAAATGCTGGTGAGGAGGTGGGGAGAGTGGGCCCCCGGCATGGCTGCTGGGAGCGCGAGGGGCCTGCAGCCACCGTGGGGACAGGACGCAGGGTCCTGAACCGTGGGGCCTGCCAAAAAGTCCGTTTAGTTTTTTCCGTAAAATAAAAGACACATTTTTCATTTCCACCAATAACTTTATTGATGTGGATGTTTTGAGTATGTCAACTGTCTCCCACATGGCATAACATTGATTGTTCTCAATCATCGTCTTGATCGCTATCCACTTCAACTGGTCCACCTGACCATGGAGCGTCGCCCAGTGAGAAGTCTCTGTCTCGAAACTTTGCAAACCATCTGTGACACGTTCGATCAGCCACAGCACCTTCTCCATACACTGCACAAATCTTTTATTGTGTTTCAGTTGCATTTTTACCTTTCTTGAAATAATAAGCATACTATGCTGAAACTGTGTTTTCTTCCATCTTCAATATTAGAATGGCTACACAAAGATTCACCATATTTTTTAAAAGATTCATTTATTTTTAGAGATGGGAAGGGGAGAAAGAGAAACATCTACCGGTTGCCTCTCGCACACCCTCAACCAGGGGCCTGGCCGACAAACCCAGGCATGTACCCTGACTGGGAATCAAACTGGTGACCTTTTGGTTCTCAGGCTGGTGTGCAGTCCACTGAGCCACACCAGCCAGGCCATAAAATCACCAGTTTTGATGGTTTTTTTTTTTTTTTAATACACGATGATAATGACAGTTGTCACAATGCAATCTAACAAAATTGTTTTGAATGAAGTTAAAGACAACTAAGCACTACTGAACCACGCTATGGAAAAAACCAAACGGACTTTTTGGCCAATCCAGTATTAAACAGAATTACCATGTGACCACACTTCTGGGTGCGTCCCCCAAAGATTTGAAAGCAGGGCCTTGAAAAGACATCTGTAGCCCCATGCATGTCACAGGGGCCTCACTCACAGGAGCTAACGCATGGAAGCAGCCTGAGCGTCCATAGGCGGGTGCTGGGCACACAGGCTGTGGTCCCCCCACTCAGTGGACTGTCACTCAGCCTTTAAGAGGAAGGACATTCTCACCCCTGCTACAACATGGATGGGCCTTGAGGACATCGTGCTGAGTGAAACGAGCCAGGCGCAGAGGGACAGACACTGCGTGACCCCACTCACAGGAGGTCCCTGGAGGAGTCAGAGCCAGGGACAGAACGTAGGATGGTGGGAGCCAGGGGCTGGGCTGGGGGGAGGGGAGTGAGTGTGGCATGGGGACAAAGTGTCAGTTTGGGAAGATAGAAAGTTCTGGAGATGACAGTAGGTATGGTTATACGACCATGTGAATGTGTTTTAATGCCACTGAGCTGTGCACCCAAAAATGGTTAAGGCAGTAAAAAAGTGAAAGTGGGGGGAAAGGGAGAGGACCAGTATCCGCCCGCCAGTGTATTCAGGGGCCTTGCGAGGATTCAGTCACAGCCGCCCACCGAAAGTGCTTCGGTGGGGGTGTGATGCGCCCAGGGGTTTCCCTTGGTGTGAGCCGCTGACCTTGAAGTTGTGAGAAGGGCCGTGCTGAGCTGCCGTTTCCTGCGAGTTTGAAGGTCACTTTCCTTTCTGATCTCAGAGGGCGTAAAAATGTGTACAGGGTTTGTGTAAGGTCTCTATCCTGACGCAAATATCTGGGGACGAAGCAGCCGACGCAGCACCCTAACTGTCTGCCTGCGAGTCCAAGGGCACCTGCCGGGCAGCGCCCGGTGCCTGCAGGGAACCCGGCACCAGGCTGAGCCTCAGCTGGGATTGGGGCGGTCAAGGTGTGTGTGAACTGTGTGTGAAACAGACTGTTCCTTTCTAGGTCGCATGTTTATATTTTATGGGAATAAAACCTCCACACAGTTCTTAAACTTCACTCCAACGCTAATCTGCTCGGACGACCTTCAGGCCAATATCCTTGGTTCCGTCTGCCCCGCGCACCTGACAGCAGCCATTGGGCTTTAGGGGAGGGCTTTGAGGAAGGTTTTCTTTAAAAATCAGAATAGCAAGACATTCCCCAGGTGCTGCAGTCACCTCAGGTGATATTTTCACAGAACTTGCAGGTGTCCACACCTGGCTCCTCGGGCTCCTTGGAGCTGCCTGTCCCTTGCTCTGCTCTCCTGCAGCACTATGAGTCCCTCTGAGCTCCACTGTCCCTTCTCTGAGGACCCCCAGAGGCCGCTGCTGCTAGACGCGGGTGCGCACCACCCCCTGGGGTGAGCGATGTGGCGGGAGCTGCCCTGGCCAGTGTTGCGGCCGTGTCCGATCCCCTCTTCCTCCAGGCTGGGCCGGCCACGCACAGTGGTGAGGAGGGTCCAGGCTTGAGCAGAGGAGAAGCCTCCTCACCACAGGCCACGGGCATGTGTGTCATGAGAGGAGCACATTTAAAGCAAAGTGTTTTGGAACAGTCATTAACGTTACTTGGACGTGGGATCAACTGTGTTAAAGGTTTCATCTAAGATCAGTTGTGCGAGCCTCTTATGAGCCCCTTCTAGAACGTCTCTTGCCTCTGGGCTCCCTGAGCCTGGGTTCCACTGGGGTGGCTCAGCTCAGACCCATGTCCCCATGTTGAATTGGCCTCCTTGACACGTGCACACCTGAGCCTGCAGACCAAGCCTGTGGACCCGACGGTGGACGGGGGTGCACAGGTACAGCAGGTCGTCAACATCGAGTGTGTGTCTGACTTTACCGAGGCTCCGGTCCTCAACATCCAGTTCAGGTAGGAGCCCCAGGGGTGGTGCCCACTGGCCGGCAGGGTGTCCCAAATCCCGGCTCCGGCCTGGAGCGCCAGGGGCTGGGACTGGGCCTGCATGCAGCTGTGTCCCTGGGAGCCGTTTGTCCTCGCCGAGTGTCAGTGTCCTCCCTCAGAGGCTGTGCTGAGGACGGGGCAGGGGCACCCCGTGCGTGCTGACGTGGCCATGCAGCTGCAGCCCTGGCTGCAAAGTGTGACGGTGGGACAGACAGCAAGCCCCAAATCTGCAAGGCCGGCATTGTCCAGCGCCCTGGTTCCTGTTGGTGTGTCATGTCCGAGGCCCAGTGCTTTCGAGCTGACCGACGGGGCTGCCCCGTGGGGCTGGGGGCCAGCAGGTCCTGTGGGCCACTTGCCGCTTGGCCTGCTGCTCCGAGTCAGCCATGGGGGGAGGGTCCCTCCAGACCCTCATCGGCTGGGTGCGTTTTTGCAGTTGTACCCAGAGCATACACACTGTTTTGATTGTTTTTTTAAGAAGTATTATTTTTGGTGTTGCTACTGGTTCATTATTGTTATTTTTCAATGACTTTGTATGTAGTCATGACCACCGTGTCCCAGTCTTTCAACCAGTTCCCTTTTGGGCGTTTGTAAGGTTAAACTTGTTTTCAAACGTTAAATGAATAGAGAACTGATGATTGTGTACTTTGTAGAATTGAGGAAAATAGGCAAGTTTTTGTTGCCTTCTGTAGACAATGTCTTCAGTCTTTTTATGAGAAAAAGAAAAATACCCACCACAATTTAAACTAACTTGGAGTTGTAGGACACGGACCGAAGGGGAAAGTGACATCCTGAGGTTGGGGTGCCCTGCCTGAGGCCGGCCCCGGGGATGTGCTCGGCCCCACAGGCTCAGCCAGAGGAGCGCGTCCCCCGATGGGCCCTGGGGCAGCCCGTGGCCGGTGTGCTGGCCCCCCATCCCCGTCAGTGATCGTGTACATGGGGCCGCAGCAGGTCCCCCTCCGCACACCCCGCCCGCCCTTGCTGATGGGACAGGCTTCCCCGGGCCCCGGAGCTGTGCACCCAGCGGCGCTGGTCCGGAGGCGCAGCTCAGCCTGCTTTGTTGCTCGCAGGTACGGGGGAACCTTTCAGAATGTGTCCGTCAAGCTGCCCATCACACTCAACAAGTTTTTCCAGCCCACAGAAATGGCTTCTCAGGATTTCTTTCAGCGCTGGAAGCAGCTGAGCAAGTGAGACGGCCGTCCTGTGAGGTGGGGGTGCGGGGATGCCAGGCCTGTGGTCTTGGACTCGGCTGAGGGTGTGACACTGGCTTTTGTGTCTCACAGTCCCCAGCAAGAAGTGCAGAACATTTTCAAGGCGAAGCATCCAATGGACACAGAGATCACCAAAGCCAAGGTGATAGCCTTGCTCATGGCGTTCCCAAGTGGGGGCCCTGTGTCGTACCTCAGACGCCAGAGTGTCCCAGCTCTCCTGTGTCTTTTGTACAGATTATTGGGTTTGGTTCTGCACTCCTTGAAGAGGTCGACCCCAATCCTGCCAATTTTGTGGGAGCTGGTATCATCCACACCAGAACCACCCAGATCGGTTGCTTGCTGCGTTTGGAGCCAAATCTACAGGCCCAGGTCAGGCCTCTTGAGGAAATGGCTAAATACACTTAAGCCGTTACTGTGGTGTGATGCACAGGGGGTTCGGCGAGTTCTGATAGACGTGCACCTGTGTCACCCCACCAGCTCATGGGCACACGTGACATTCCCACCGCCCCAGAACGTTGCCTGCTGCCCTGCTCCGGCCTCCCCTCGAGGCTGCTCTGTGTCAGCCGCGCGTTGCTCGGAGGGCCACGGGGCACGCCTTTGCCCAGTGCGTTCGTTCCCTCCTGCTGCCAGGCTGCTGGGCTGTCCCGGGGTCATTCTGAGCAGAGCTGCTGCAGAGGCTTTTGCACGTGCCTTCGTGCAGACGTCTGTTTTCCTTTCATCTGAGAGGGGCCCCGTGTGCAACTGAGGGCTCACAGGGTCCACTCGTGGGTAGCTTTACGAGGGGCTGCCCCATGGCTCTCCAAAGGGGCTGGAACCTGCCCCAGTGCCACTGGTGGTGTCTGAGGTTCCAGTGGCTCACGTGCATGCCGGTATGTGTCATGGTCAGATTTTTCTGTTTCGGGGGCTGGAAGCACGTTTGATGCTTGAGTCTCTGTAAAACAGTGGACACCTCAGGCAAGGGGGGTGGTGTGGCCGCGGGCCCAGGGGCTGTGCTGAGAGGGCCCCGGAGGCCACTGACGTGCCCTTCTCATTTCAGATGTACCGGCTCACGCTGCGGACGAGCAAGGAGACCGTCTCCCAGAGACTGTGCGCTTTGCTGTCGGAGCAGTTCTAGTTCCTGAGGACGGAGGTCAGGCGCGTGTGCCGCGTCTCCTTACCTCTGCCGTTGTCCGCATTCCGTGCCGCACACAGGCACCCCCCGTGCGTGCTACAGGGCAAGGCTGCCGCCCGCCTCCTCCACCGCGTCCCTCTGGTGTGGGTGGGAGCGCGGGTGCGCAGTGTAAGAGGAAAGGCTAAGCCGGGATCGCGGCCGGCTTGCCAGGTCGGGAGGGGGCGTGGATCCTGGGATCAGATTTTATAGAAATCAAGACAGTTCTGTGGTTAAATCTACAAATTAAAGGGAAATTAGAAGTTTGAATGAAAATGGACATTTTTTTAAATGTTATCGAAATGTCACTGCTCTGTGGCTGCCAGCTCATCTCTTGTTCTCGGAGACATGTGGCAGCATTTTGTGGTAGGGGACTTGATCTTAACGAGGCCATGTGGCTGTTTTGGGGGTGACACTGGGTGCAGGAGATGCACGACAAGGTCCCCGTGTGGCCTGGCCCCGTGCTCACGTCCTTGGTGTGTGGCACAGAGCGTGCAGGCTGCAGACTGACCGTGGCATGCATGTCTGGTGGGATTCTCCACCTGGACGCTAGGCACGCATGTTTTTCACCCACACACCATGCACCTCGGCCAGAGCTGAGTACCTCCCCTCCCAGCCCAGTGTCCTCACAATGTGTTTGTTGTGCTGTCTGACCATGAGGCCTGGGGAGGGGTTGCTGTGGCTCCAGAGGGCGTGTAGTTGACCTTGCTCCTCCGTAGGCATCACCACAGTGGCCAGGGACTGGCTCCCATCTATGACCGGAGGGTTAAACGTGACCAGCAGAGAAGATTCTGGAAGGAGAGCTGGCCTCTGCCCTGTTGGTGACCAGGAGCTGTCTGTGCGGTTTTCCCTGGGCTCACAGCTGCTGGTGGCGCTGCTGACCTTGGTGGGCGCGGTGGCGGGGAGGTCAGGAAGCAGAGAGGCTGCCGAGGATAAGCTAGAGCTTGTCCTCCGCATGTTGCCCATGCTGCCTAGTGCTCGTGGCGGCTGCCAGGCTGCAGAGCTGCTCCAGGGCCTCTGTCCAGCCGGTGGGCTGGTACGTGGAGGGCAGGGGCTCAGGCTAGCAGGTGGGCCTGTCACCCAAGGGCCTTGGAGGAGCCGGGGCTCTGTTGGTTCCCCCAGTCCCCCCGCAGGCCCTGGGGGCCCAAGGGCTGTGCCGGGGGCCCTTGTGAGGCCTGTGCGGCAGTGCTCGTCCTGGGGAGGCCGGCTCAGGAGGCCGTCGGCGTGCTGGGGCCTGTGCCACACTGCAGCCGCCCCACCCCAGGCTCCCACACCCATCGTCTGTGTGACCCTGCAGGGCCTGCTCTGGGACCCATGCTGGCCTGAGGAACCCACGCCTGCCAGTCCGTGGAGTCCTTGGCTGGACACAGCAGACAGTGGTGCTGGGTTTACAGAGAGCATCGCTGGCGTGGCTGAGCCGCAGGGGCCATGCTCCCTGTGCTTCTATTCAAGCCTCTGGGCACGGCACATGGCCCCACAATGTCGTGTGGACACAGGGGTCTCCAGTGATGGTCTGTACCCTCCCTGGCACTAGGCCCTTGTTAGAGTGCCATCGTAGGTGCCAACCACCACGAAGTATGTTCCTCCCCAGGGGAAAATCATTGCCAGGACAGGGACGTGCGTGCCATCTGTGGAGGGAAGGGACGGTGATGGGGACGTGCGGGTCTCTCTGGAGAGAAAACACCCTGCGTGCAGCTTGAGATCCTGTCCTGTAGGCCGTACTGGCCATGGACCCCCGTGACCAAGGGCCTGCCCTGGGTGGGCCGTTCAGCGGCGCTTGGCGGTCTGGGCCACGGGTAAGCGGAGGTGCCCTGGAGAGGACGTGCCTTTTGCTCTGCACGTTGGTTCATCGTGCAGGCCCGGCCTTGCTCCCCACTGCACAGTGCGTGTGAGGTGGTCTGCGTCCTGGAGGCCGCGGGTCTAAATGACCTGGGCGACCGTGGCCTCCCTTCTGGGGAGTGAGCCCGTGCTCACAAGGGAGGGGTGAGCCCAGCCACAGCCTGGAGCTGCGTCCCACAGGGTGGCGGGCTTTCAGGAGCATGCTGAGCTGGGAGGCACCCTGGCGGTGCCCAGAGGAGGTGAGGGGGCCTGCCGGGCCGGGGAGGCCCTTGCGGGGCAGGCATGGCTCGGGGGTCACAGACGCCTGGGGGCACGGAGATGACAAACACAGCTCCGGGCAGCCTCTGTGCCTTGACCAGCGCCAGTTTATTTGCCACCTGTCCACGAGGCCTGTCCGTCGAGGAGGGTAGCTGTGGTGCCCTCCCCAGGGTGAGCTCCGTTGGTGTGCGGGCACCCCTGCTTGGGTGGCGCCTGCGTCCGCCCTCTTGCCATCCCTTCCCTTCCCTGCCTGGTCAGCCCCTCTCCTTGCTGCCTCTTCCCCGCCCGTCCTTGCTTGGTGTCTCTTTCTTCCTAGGCAGCCCCTTTGGAGCGGCCTTCCTTGGGTCGGGGTCTGCTTCCGGCAGGTCGGGGCAGCTGCCTCCCAAGGCAGGGAGGCTGTGTGGGCGGTGGGTGGCCGTGTCCTGGAAGGGCCTTGTAGGGCAGGAGGCCAGCAGTTCTTTGCAGCCTGTTGGGCTGGGCCAGGGCCTGCAGGGCTCCTGCCAGGCAGCCCCTTCCTGCAGGTGCCTGGGTGAGCTGTGCCCTGGGCTCTTGAAGGCCATGCTTGGAAAGGGGCTGCTGGGTGCAGTGAGCCGGGGGGGGGGGGGGGGGGGGGGGGCGCGGGGGGCTGGGGGCTGAGAGTGGTGCTTCATCCTCTCACGCGGGGGCTGCGCCCTAGTCTCTGCAGCGCCCGGGGCCGCACACGCAGCGTCTGAACACCTGCAGTGTAAGAACCAGTTGCTGCCCCGGGGCCTCAGGGTCTGGGCAGGGCAGCACCAACTGCTGCTTGTAGGAGCTGAGTGGGCGGCAGCAGCTGCACTGGGTGTCCACTTGATCGGTGCCCATGTTGAAGCTGTAAAGAATCCACCGCAGGGAGCGCGGGTCAGGGTCACGGCCTTGGGGGGGGCCCACTCCTCCCCAGCCACATGGGAGAAGGGCAGACCCAAGTGGGGACCTCAGGGCGTGGCCTCTGTTGCCAGCCTCCCTGGCTGGCAGGTGGGCAGCTGCAGGCACAGTCACAGGGGGGCGCTTGGAGCCTCTGTTGGGCATGGTGGGCCCCAAGCTCAGAGCCCGGCCGCTCACCTGGCAGAGGAGGCACAGACGCCCTCGCAGCGGGTCACTGTCACGTTGGCTGTGCACCCCTGGTAGGTGATCTCCTCCTCACGCTCCCGAACCCTGCAGACCTCTGAGCGCCGGGAGGGGGAGGCAGGCGGTGAGACACCCACCCCAGGGAGTGGCCACAGGGCACGCGCGGCCTCAGGGCCCCTGGGCCAGGCCCTTGAGAGGGCAGGGTGGGTGGGCGTGCCCGCTGGGCTTTGGGCCCCGGGTTCCCCGAGTGCATTCTCTGTGGGCGGGGAGCAGGGCCGGCCACTGGGGCCAGGGGGAAGCAGGACAGTAGCTGCATAGCTCCTTAGGGAGATGGCCCAGGGGGCCGCCGGCACTCTGCTGGGCCCCACGCGGGCTGCTGCCGCCCGTCCGAGCCCCACTGATCTCAGACCTCACGCTGGGACAGAGCCAGCTGGGCACTCCCCACCCCGCAGCCAGGGCTTGCTCAGAGGACGAGGCAGATTCTGCACTGTCCCCAGCCTCCCCAGCCTCCTCCCCCGCCAGCTGATACCTACCTGTGAGCATAGGTGGCTCTGTCCTGTCGGGCCCAGAACCTGCGGGCGTGACACAGGGAGGGGGTCAGTGTCCCCAGAAGAAAGCTCCCTGCAGGAGTCTGTGGTCCCCGTGTGGATCTCAGAGTTGGCGCATCACCTCAGGCTCACCCCTGGCAGCCGGCAGAGCAGTGCTGCCGCTGGGAGGTACCATTGTGGAACCGAATGAGAAAGCTAAAGGAAGCTCCTGAGCACAGATCGACAGCCCCCCGCTTTCCCCACTCTGTCCTGGCCTTGCCCTGCCTGCTCTGTTTTCCCGCTGGCAGGGACAGACCTGGCAGGGACGGGGCTCTGGATGTGTCCCCGTGGGTTCTCATCGCCCCTAGCTGTCCCCCTTTCCTGATCTCTCTCTCTCTCTCTGGCTCCCTCACCCCAGTTCCTGGGGTCCCCTCCCCAGGGACAGCTTAAACGTAGTCCTTGTCCCCCAGGAGAACCGTGTCACTGTGAACGGTCCCGCCTGGGGCTTGTGAGGGGAGCCCTGTCCAGGCAGTGGATGCTGTGGAGGGAACACCCAAAAGGGAGGCGACCGGCGTCCCTGAAGGGTAGGGCGGGTCAGGCAGCCTTGGGGCAGCGGGGCAGAGTGGGAGCTGGAGGAGGCTGCAGGGCTGAGCCTTTGCAAGACCAACCGTGGGATGGGGGGCCCTGCCGCAGTCCCAGCTTGGCCCCCCGCCGTCCCTAGAGGTGAGGCATGGCCGGCCAGTCTTCACTTTTCTTTCTGCAGCCTGGGAGGGGTGGGATGAGTGCCTCCTGGATGCCTGCCAGCCCTGCCCAGCTGAGGGGGGCTGCTGAGGGGAGGAGGCCCCTCAAAGGGAGGCCAGGGTTGCAGCAAGGGGGTGTGGGGGGTGGGGCATGAGGGAGCCGAGTCCAGGATTAGAGGTGGGAAAGGGGGCCAACCAGAGGACAGGTGCCCGCTGCAGCCAGATTAGGCCTTGCTGGAGAGGTGGGGAGACAGGAACTGGAGTCCCGTCCACCAAGGTGAAGCACAGGCCCCAAGGACGAGGGCAGCGTGGCAGAGGACAGGCCGGAGACACCAGAGGTGTGGGGGAGCCTAGTCGGGGAGGCGTGACCCAGACAGCCTCAGGGGTGACGGGCCCAGAGCCTGCAGCTGGTCAGAGGCAAACCTGGCCCTCCAGCCAGGCCTCTGCCCAGCGCCCCCTGCTGCCAGGCTCTCCCAGGGGAAGCGCGGGCTTTAGGGGGAGGAAAGGAGACACGCCCACCAAGTCAAGAGTCGGCTGGGGGCTGGGTGTGCGGGAAGCATCACAGCCTGGGGAGCAGAGGCAGGAAGGCGACAGCAGAGCCCAGGGGGTCACCAGGCAGGGTGAGGAGATGAGAAAAGGTGGGGACAGCGTGAGAGTGACCCCGAGTGCAGCCGACTACAGAAGCCAGGCGGGGAGGAAGCAGAGCACAGTGTCACTAGGTGGCTGAGAGAAGTCACTTACTGGAGTAGCTGGGGGCCGATGGGAGGAGGGAGGACGCAGAGGATCCGGCAGTGGGGGAGGCGGTGGTCAGCAGTCCTGTGGTCCTAGGGGGCCTGGTGGTGAGGTTCGTGGCTGGGGCACTGGGGACGGCTGTCACGCCCAGCGTGGAGGACATGAGGCTGGGCACGGGCACTCGAGTGGTGAGAGAGGTGGATTGCGAGGTGGTGGACTGGGAAGACACGGTGGAGGAGCCTAGGGTGCTGGCTGTGGTCCGTGCTGTGGAAGGAGGGACTGCGGTGCTGGAGGAGGGGACATGCGAGGGAGTGGGAGGCACCGGTGGCGCGGTCGGGGCAGGAGGAGGCGAGAGGGAGGCTGTCAGGGGCTGGGAGACAGCAGGGGAAGGAGATGGAGACGGGCGGGCTGTGTGTGAGGGGGTAGGACGTCCTGAGGACGCAGGAGTGCGGGTCACCGAGCTCCTGGTTGGGGGTCTGTGGGACGTGGAAGCCACCGAGGACAATGGGGAGGGGGGCAAAGAGTGTGGTGTGGGGGTGGAGGTGTGGGAGGGGGCCTGAGAAGGGGCCGGAGAGAGGGGCCCGCTCGTGGCAGGGAGGGAGGGGGACGAATGGGCGGGAGAAGAGGTGGCATGGTGTGGCCACTCAGTCGTGAACAAGGGAGTGTTTAGGGGGGTTTGGCTAGAATTGAGGGAAGCAGGAGGAAACACAGAAGGGCTGACGCTGGAGCCTAGGGACGGAGAAGGGGAAGGGCTCACTAAGGAAGTAGAAAACTGGCCGATGCTGATGCGACTGGACATGGGGGAGGTCCAAACAGTGGTCACGGTGCCCGGGGCGGTGTTAGGCGGGGGCGCGGTGCCGGAGCCAGGGACGTGTGTGGTCGGGGGCGTTGCGGAGTGAGGGGTGGGGGAGTGTGGCCGGGTTGGGGTGCCGGCGCGGGGAGACGTGGGGGTGACAGAGGAGGTGGCCGAGTGTGGCACCTGGGTGGAGTGCGTGGTCTTGGACGGGGAAGCGGTTGGGAAGGAGGTGGTGGTGCGGAAGGACGTCCCGTGCGGGGGAGGTGTCGAGTGGGCGGTGTGGGAGGGGGAGCCCGTGTGCCCGGAGGGGGTGGTGAGGGGCGTGTGTGGCGTGTGTGGCGAGTGGGGCGTGTGGGGCGTGGCCGAGGCGGGGTGTGTGCGGGGCGGCGTCCCGGATCCGGTGCCCGAGGCCTGCGTGGATGTGGTGCCGGAGTGGGCAGGTGCCGAAGGGTGGGCCGTGGGAGGGGTGGAGGTTTTGGCGGTGCTGGCAGAGTTCGGGACCGGCGTGGTGCCCGCTGTGGTCAGCGTGCCCGTGCCCGGGGCGGTGTTAGGCGGGGGCGCGGTGCCGGAGCCAGGGACGTGTGTGGTCGGGGGGCGTTGCGGAGTGAGGGGTGGGGGAGTGTGGCCGGGTTGGGGTGCCGGCGCGGGGAGACGTGGGGGTGACAGAGGAGGTGGCCGAGTGTGGCACCTGGGTGGAGTGCGTGGTCTTGGACGGGGAAGCGGTTGGGAAGGAGGTGGTGGTGCGGAAGGACGTCCCGTGCGGGGGGAGGTGTCGAGTGGGCGGTGTGGGAGGGGGAGCCCGTGTGCCCGGAGGGGGTGGTGAGGGGCGTGTGTGGCGTGTGTGGCGTGTGTGGCGAGTGGGGCGTGTGGGGCGTGGCCGAGGCGGGGTGTGTGCGGGGCGGCGTCCCGGATCCGGTGCCCGTGGCCTGCGTGGATGTGGTGCCGGAGTGGGCAGGTGCCGAAGGGTGGGCCGTGGGAGGGGGTGGAGGTTTTGGCGGTGCTGGCAGAGTTCGGGACCGGCGTGGTGCCCGCTGTGGTCAGCGTGCCCGTGCCCGGGGCGGTGTTAGGCGGGGGCGCGGTGCCGGAGCCAGGGACGTGTGTGGTCGGGGGGCGTTGCGGAGTGAGGGGTGGGGGAGTGTGGCCGGGTTGGGGTGCCGGCGCGGGGAGACGTGGGGGTGACAGAGGAGGTGGCCGAGTGTGGCACCTGGGTGGAGTGCGTGGTCTTGGACGGGGAAGCGGTTGGGAAGGAGGTGGTGGTGCGGAAGGACGTCCCGTGCGGGGGAGGTGTCGAGTGGGCGGTGTGGGAGGGGGGGGCCCGTGTGCCCGGAGGGGGTGGTGAGGGGCGTGTGTGGCGTGTGTGGCGAGTGGGGCGTGTGGGGCGTGGCCGAGGCGGGGTGTGTGCGGGGCGGCGTCCCGGATCCGGTGCCCGTGGCCTGCGTGGATGTGGTGCCGGAGTGGGCAGGTGCCGAAGGGTGGGCCGTGGGAGGGGTGGAGGTTTTGGCGGTGCTGGCAGAGTTCGGGACCGGCGTGGTGCCCGCTGTGGTCAGCGTGCCCGTGCCCGGGGCGGTGTTAGGCGGGGGCGCGGTGCCGGAGCCAGGGACGTGTGTGGTCGGGGGCGTTGCGGAGTGAGGGGTGGGGGAGTGTGGCCGGGTTGGGGTGCCGGCGCGGGGAGACGTGGGGGTGACAGAGGAGGTGGCCGAGTGTGGCACCTGGGTGGAGTGCGTGGTCTTGGACGGGGAAGCGGTTGGGAAGGAGGTGGTGGTGCGGAAGGACGTCCCGTGCGGGGGAGGTGTCGAGTGGGCGGTGTGGGAGGGGGAGCCCGTGTGCCCGGAGGGGGTGGTGAGGGGCGTGTGTGGCGTGTGTGGCGTGTGTGGCGAGTGGGGCGTGTGGGGCGTGGCCGAGGCGGGGTGTGTGCGCGGCGGCGTCCCGGATCCGGTGCCCGTGGCCTGCGTGGATGTGGTGCCGGAGTGGGCAGGTGCCGAAGGGTGGGCCGTGGGAGGGGTGGAGGTTTTGGCGGTGCTGGCAGAGTTCGGGACCGGCGTGGTGCCCGCTGTGGTCAGCGTGCCCGTGCCCGGGGCGGTGTTAGGCGGGGGCGCGGTGCCGGAGCCAGGGACGTGTGTGGTCGGGGGCGTTGCGGAGTGAGGGGTGGGGGAGTGTGGCCGGGTTGGGGTGCCGGCGCGGGGAGACGTGGGGGTGACAGAGGAGGTGGCCGAGTGTGGCACCTGGGTGGAGTGCGTGGTCTTGGACGGGGAAGCGGTTGGGAAGGAGGTGGTGGTGCGGAAGGACGTCCCGTGCGGGGGAGGTGTCGAGTGGGCGGTGTGGGAGGGGGAGCCCGTGTGCCCGGAGGGGGTGGTGAGGGGCGTGTGTGGCGTGTGTGGCGTGTGTGGCGAGTGGGGCGTGTGGGGCGTGGCCGAGGCGGGGTGTGTGCGCGGCGGCGTCCCGGATCCGGTGCCCGTGGCCTGCGTGGATGTGGTGCCGGAGTGGGCAGGTGCCGAAGGGTGGGCCGTGGGAGGGGTGGAGGTTTTGGCGGTGCTGGCAGAGTTCGGGACCGGCGTGGTGCCCGCTGTGGTCAGCGTGCCCGTGCCCGGGGCGGTGTTAGGCGGGGGCGCGGTGCCGGAGCCAGGGACGTGTGTGGTCGGGGGCGTTGCGGAGTGAGGGGTGGGGGAGTGTGGCCGGGTTGGGGTGCCGGCGCGGGGAGACGTGGGGGTGACAGAGGAGGTGGCCGAGTGTGGCACCTGGGTGGAGTGCGTGGTCTTGGACGGGGAAGCGGTTGGGAAGGAGGTGGTGGTGCGGAAGGACGTCCCGTGCGGGGGAGGTGTCGAGTGGGCGGTGTGGGAGGGGGAGCCCGTGTGCCCGGAGGGGGTGGTGAGGGGCGTGTGTGGCGTGTGTGGCGAGTGGGGCGTGTGGGGCGTGGCCGAGGCGGGGTGTGTGCGGGGCGGCGTCCCGGATCCGGTGCCCGAGGCCTGCGTGGATGTGGTGCCGGAGTGGGCAGGTGCCGAAGGGTGGGCCGTGGGAGGGGTGGAGGTTTTGGCGGTGCTGGCAGAGTTCGGGACCGGCGTGGTGCCCGCTGTGGTCAGCGTGCCCGTGCCCGGGGCGGTGTTAGGCGGGGGGCGCGGTGCCGGGGCCAGGGACGTGTGTGGTGGGGGGCGTTGCGGGGTGAGGGGGGGGGGGAGTGTGGCCGGGTTGGGGTGCCGGCGCGGGGAGACGTGGGGGTGACAGAGGAGGTGGCCGAGTGTGGCACCTGGGTGGAGTGCGTGGTCTTGGACGGGGAAGCGGTTGGGAAGGAGGTGGTGGTGCGGAAGGACGTCCCGTGCGGGGGAGGTGTCGAGTGGGCGGTGTGGGAGGGGGAGCCCGTGTGCCCGGAGGGGGTGGTGAGGGGCGTGTGTGGCGTGTGTGGCGAGTGGGGCGTGTGGGGCGTGGCCGAGGCGGGGTGTGTGCGCGGCGGCGTCCCGGATCCGGTGCCCGAGGCCTGCGTGGATGTGGTGCCGGAGTGGGCAGGTGCCGAAGGGTGGGCCGTGGGAGGGGTGGAGGTTTTGGCGGTGCTGGCAGAGTTCGGGACCGGCGTGGTGCCCGCTGTGGTCAGCGTGCCCGTGCCCGGGGCGGTGTTAGGCGGGGGCGCGGTGCCGGAGCCAGGGACGTGTGTGGTCGGGGGCGTTGCGGAGTGAGGGGTGGGGGAGTGTGGCCGGGTTGGGGTGCCGGCGCGGGGAGACGTGGGGGTGACAGAGGAGGTGGCCGAGTGTGGCACCTGGGTGGAGTGCGTGGTCTTGGACGGGGAAGCGGTTGGGAAGGAGGTGGTGGTGCGGAAGGACGTCCCGTGCGGGGGAGGTGTCGAGTGGGCGGTGTGGGAGGGGGAGCCCGTGTGTCCGGAGGGGGTGGTGAGGGGCGTGTGTGGCGAGTGGGGCGTGTGGGGCGTGTGGGACGTGGCGGGGGCGGGGTGTGTCTGATGAGTTGTGTGTATTGGGCTCTGGCCTGTTGTAGTATCGGGCGATCTCGCGGGCTCCGTGTGATGTGTCTCTTGCTGTGTTGTTGTTTCCCAGGTTCGTTTTTCGGTCGTTTCCTCTGTGGGAGTACAATGTGGATGGTTATTTTTTGTGTCCGTGGTCTGTCTGGTGTCTTCCTGTCCTGCTTACCACGTGTTGTCTGTGTACGTTTTTCCTCTCGGTTCCTGTGCCGTTTTGCCTCCCTGTACTGCTTGCTGGCTCTGAATGCTGGTCTCTCCCCGCTCCTTTTTGTATGTCAAGTGTGTGTACCCCTAAGCCAACGCACAGCCCCCATATGCCGTCTCAGCTTGGTTTGCCTGGCTTCAGCCACCCCTCTTCTCGTGTGCCTTAGGGCTGCGACATGTGACCCTGATGGCAGACGCGGGCCCTGCGCTGTTGTGACTCTGGACACCACTGGGCCCCGGGAGCCTGGCTCACCTGGTGTGGGTGTGGCAGTAGCTGTGGCGGAGAGGCTTGCCGACGCTGTGCCTGGAGAGTTGGGAGGGAGCGTATTGACCGGTGGGCTCCTGCCGGCCGCTCTGCCGGCTGCCCCCTTGTTCTGGGCTCGAGGCGTCCCTGTCTGGTTTCCCGAGGCCAAGCTCTTGTATGTAGCCCCGGATAGGTGCTTTGGGCATGAGGAAACCTCTGCTCTGTTTCCTCTGTGGGGACCCCTGGGTGGGGCATCCTTACTTTTGGGTGTGCCAGTGGAGGTTTCTGACATCGTCGGGGTTGGCTTTGCCGCTGTGGTGCGTGCCGTGGACCGTGCTGTGGATTGTGTGGCTGTGCTGAGGGGTGGTTCTGTGGAATGCGTTGTGGCCTCTGTCACAGTCGGTCCTGTGACCGTTGACCTAGGGGTGGCTGTGGGGGCCAGCGGCGATGTGGCTCCCGTGGTGATGGCAGAGGTCGTTCGAGGCGACTCTGCAGGGAAGAAGACCCAGAACACCGTCTTCGGTCCACTTGCTTTTGCCCCCTTTTCACTGCTGAGTCCAAGGACCTTGCTCCAGCTGTGCCACCAGAGCCTGGCCAGTCGGGTGCACTGGACCCCCTGAAAGGGGCATGTGTCTTTCTCTAGCTGACCCTCACGTCCTCTCAGGCAGCCTGGACTTGGTGGCCACAGTGGGTTTTCCAGTGCCCATGGACTCATTGAGCCACTGGCTTTTTCTTCCCCTGCCCATGCTAGCAGGACCCACATCTTGTGCCCTTGTGGTCCCTGGGCAGCTGGACGAGGGTGCTACTGAGTGGGGTGGGGTGGCTTCATGGGGGGGCTGTCACACGCTCCCTGCACCCGGCACACCCCACTCGTGTCTTAGCGACAGTATCACAAAGCAAGGAAGGGCAATGTCCTGGCACCAGTTTACGCTTCAAACATGCCTTCTGTGCCTGAGCCCCTGCTCTGTGGCGAGGTGAGGTGCTCCTGCCCCACAGCCCCACGGAGCACGTCTGTGACCCTGCGCGTCCTGCCGCCGCCGCTGTGGGGCCTTACCTCCAGCAGAGACTGTCCGGCCTGTCTGGGTGCTCGGGGCTGTCCCCGCCTGTATGGAGGAGTGGGCTGAGGCCGTGGGTGTGGCCGTGGGCGTGGCTGTGGGTGTAAAGCCGATTGTGGGGGTCCCAGGTGTGGGGGGTGAGCTGGCCGCGGGTACAGAGCTGAGGCGGCTGGTGGTTCTGGGGGAGGCCGTGGTGGGCCTGGCTCCTGTAGGGGGCAGAGGGGCCGTTACTGTGCGCACAGCCTTTGGAGGAGCCCCTCTCTTGCCCACTGAGCCTCTGTGCCTTGCAGCCCCCACCGCCAGGCAGACTGAGCAGAAGGTGGAGGGGGCGTGGCCCTCCGAGGCGCCCTGGGGTCCCAGCAGCCTTGCTGTGACAGTGGCCATGCGGCGGGGCCCCAGCGGGGCGGCTCCTGGTCGGCCAGGAGCTGAGCTTTACTGGACCCTCCCCTCTGCTTTCCTGGCCGGCACGGCTGCCCCCCGTGGGGCCAGCCCAGGGCGGCCCAGGCACGCTGCTGCGCTGCCCCACACGCCGGCACAGGCCAGGCCGACGGGTGTCCAGTGAAGAGCCCGGGGAGAGCGCCTGCTTCACCTTGGCACCTAGTGTGCGTGCAATCACCTGTGGTGGGCGACGGCGGCGCGGTGGGCAGCAGCACTGCAAGAAGAAGGGGGGTCAGCACTGTCTCTCCCCTGCCCTCCACCCAGTCCTCCCGTGTCCCCAGGGCCTGAGTCGGGGGCTCACCCGAGACGGGCGGCCCCTGCTCCTCTGTCCTTTTACCCCCATCTGCTCTCTCTCCCAACACACCCCCTGGCCTTGGTGGCGGCCTGGCCGCAGGGCTACGGCAGCTCTCCAGGCCGCGGCCCTTGGGCCCCCAGGTGGCTCCTGCTCTGCAGCCATGCGCCCAGCAGGCCTGCGGAGCCTGGGCCTGCGTCTGCCCTGCAGCTGGGGGCTGGGCGTGAGGGGCTCTGTGCGTGGGGAGGAGAGGCCCACTCCCTTTCCCCATGTCTGCCCTCTGGGGCACGGGGGTCTCAGCACTGCAAGGGCACAGCCTGGGGAGGGGGTCCTGGAGAGCCGGCCAGAGGTGGGTGCAGGGCCGGGGCGACCCGGGGAGGGCAGGGGGGCATGGGCCTGCGGACGGCGCTTACTGCACGGCATGCATGTCCCAGTGGCGTGGTTGAAGTACTCGTCCTGGGAGCAGTTGTAGCAACCTGGGGGCGGTGCCGGGAGCGGCCAAGCCTTAGAGCTGGAGCTGGGTCCTCTCCCTCCAGGCCCCGTTCCTGCCCTGCCCCGGCTTGCCTCTGAACCGCAGAGGCAGTTCCCCACCGTGTCCCCTCCCTTCCCCGGCCACCCTGCACTGAGCCTCTCGCCTCCCCCACCCCTTGCCTGTTGCAGTCCCCTGGCTCTAGGCTGTCCCCTCCTCCACCTGCCTTGCCCTGACCTTCACGCCCCTCTCCACGTGGCCTAGGAAGCCATCAGTCCCCTGGGCCGACCTCTCCCTCTCCCCACCCCATACCTTCGATGTTGGTGTCCGGGAAGCTCTGCAGCTGCTGGGGGCAGAGACACGGCTGGTAGTGCCACGTGCAGTTGGCCTCCTGTGTGTACTGGAACTGGCCGGTACCCACCCGTGTGTGGGTGTTGTAGAAGTCGCAGTAGATGGCTGGGAGGACAGGTGCCCGTTAGGGACCCTGAGCCCGCGCAGAAGCCTGGAAGGCTCGGGGTCCCCGTGTGGGGTCCGTCTGCAGGGACTCAGCCCACTGCCCACCCAGGAGCAGTGCTGCTGCCAGGGCTGCCTGCCGGGGGTGGGGGGCAGGGCACTCACGGCAGAAGTCGGGGGTCCTCCAGTCCACACACACGCCCTTGGCCAGGCAGGCCTGGGCATAGGCGGCCACGGCGTCGCACAGGCACTCGCAGTCCCCGCCAGTGTCGCACCCGCACGTGTCGCGCACGCAGGCCTCGTAATAGGGCAGGCGGTACACCTGTGGGAGCCAGCCCTCAGCGGCCGCCGCCCCCCCCCCGCCCCCCCAGGCCCGAGGCCCAGCCGTGGTGCTGCGGGAACCCGGCCCCAAGGCATGCGGCCCACCTGGCTGTGGCAGGCAGCGAAGGTCTGGCTGTTGATGATGCCGCACTTGCGCTCAGCCCAGGAGCGACGGAAGGCGTTCACGCTGCAGGGCTCCAGCGCAAAACTGGCATCCCCACACAGCGGGCTCTCCTTCCACGAGTTCACGAACTCCAGCTCGCTGGACGCCACGTACTTGCTGCGTGTCTCAAAGTCGTCCTTCATGTTCCCGTTGTAGTTGCCACACAAGCCGCACAAGGCGTCCTGTGGGGGCTGGTGTTAGGTGGTGGGCGGGCGCTGCCCCACCCCCGATGGCCTGGGCAGGGGCGCACTGACCTGTGTGGCGCGTGAGATCTTGATGGAGATGCTCATGTGCTTGTTCCAGATGAGGGTCAGGTTGTAGTTGCTGCCGATGGTGATGTCCAGCAGCAGGTGCAAGGAGCCCGCCTTGACCCGGTAGTGCACATGGGGCTCGGCCCCGCTGACCGTGTAGTTCCTATCCGCCAGCACGATGGACAGGCCCTGGGGGGCAGGGACGTCACCGGCTGCCTGCCCCCCTGGACCTGGGCTGCTAAATGCCGCCAGCGCTGCCTCCCCGCCTGTGCCCACCCAGGCAGGGTGGACGTGTCCATCAAGGACACGGGTGGGCCAGCGCCTGCCTTCTGGAGCCTGCCATGGGCAGAAGGTTCTGGAACATCATGGACACTGTGCTGAGGGCTGAGTCATGCTTCTGGGAGAACTCCCCACTCCTGCCCCTCCATGGCTGTTCAGCTCTGATAGACGCTGTTGCGCGTGGCCAGCCGCACAGAGAGGCTGCCATGTAGGGACACCCACCCAGCCCACTCACCCCCAGGGAGACCCTGATGGCCCGGGAGCAGGTGATGCCCAACTTCCCGCACACCACGTTCTCCGTCAGGATCTTGAAGGTGGGCCGGGAGTCGTTGGTGCCGCAGCCATCCTGCGGGGAGGGGGCGCTGAGGAGGAGCCAGCCAGGAGCTCCCCCACGGCCCCCCAGGGCCTCCTCCTGGCCGCCCTCCATGGTTTCCCTGCCCCCCGAGGCCTCACCGTGGCCAGGATGTACTCGCAGTTGCCCTCAAACACGAAGCGTTGCCCGTCGAAGGTGACCACGTGGCCCTCCCCATAGAGGGTGCAGGTGGATGAGCAGTGGGCACTCTCCTGGCACGTCCACTTGCCCCTCGAGCAGGTGCTGGGGGAGGAGCGAGTACTCTGGGGTTCTGAGGGACCCAGGCCACATGCACCCCCACAGGATGCTGACCCCGTGCCAACCCCAGAGGACCCTGAGGACAGCCCTGAGCCACCTGGACCCCCAGGGTTGGGCTGTGACGTACCAGGTCTTACAGTCAGTGTGGAGCTGGGCGCCCCGGGGGTAGGAGGCCCCTGCAAACTCGCACGGGCACTCTTCGGGGGGCACGCACTGCCCACTGGCGTTCTCATAGAGCCCCTCGGCACAGACACAGCCGGGCTCACACTTGGTGGGCACCTGCAGGGAGGCGGTCAGCAGCCCTGGAAGGGTGGCCCCGGCCGTGGGCCCTTCAGAGACCCCCCTGCCGTCATTCCAGGCCTGCTGCTGCATCTACCCTGCTCCGGGCCTTTCTCTTCAGGAAGGTTCCTGCTCCTCTGGGTCTCATGGCTGGGCTCTTGGACCCCCTCCACCCGCTCCCCACACTGGGGAGCACCAGCCCACAGTCCTCAGAGAACCCCGCAGATGGAGCACACGGCCCCTCCAGCTGCCTAGCCTCCCAGCCCCACTGGTCGCGTTTATCTTGGGAGGACAGGGACGGAAGGGCAGCTTGGCCCCTCGCCCGAGGGCTCTGCGGACACCCTCCCCCAGTCCGGAGAGAAGCCCTGCAGCGGTGACTGCAGGGAGGTCCCCCCCGGCCCCGCACAGGTCCCCTTGTGGGGACGGCCTTCTGGGGAGCGCCCTGCCCCTTGCTTGCCCCAGCCTTACGCAGGGCATGCCAGTGGCCAGCATCTGGCATGTGGGGGCACAGGCTGCCCCAAACTTGTTCTCTGAGGACTGGCTGCAGGACTGGAACGTCTTGGGTGCCGAGCAGGACGCTGCAGGGAAGAGGGGCTGGGTGAGGCGGGCTCCGTGGAGGCCGGGGCTCCTTGTGGTCCAGGTCCGCCGCCTCGGCCAAGCTACGTACCCAGGAACATCTGCGGTCGCCCGGGGCAGCTCAGCCGCCCGTTCACGCAGTAGCTGGAAGAGAGGCTGTGTGAGGGGGCGGCCCCAGGGCAGGGGCTGGGGGCAGGGCGGGGCAGGGCCAGCCACCAGGGACCCTCACACACCAGATGACGCCATTGACCACAGTGGACTGGCTGGCCAGGACGAGCCTGTGGTCGTCCAAGAGGCAGGGGCACTGGGCCTTGCGCACACACTCGGCCTTGTGGTTGAGGTAGGTGCCCTCCGGGCAGTTGCACCCTTCCACGGGGACGGCGCTGGGGTGGCACTCAGCAGCGCGGTCGGACAGCGAGAGGCACGTGCGGCTGCAGGCCCGGCTGTCGTAGCTGAATGTCTGGTTGCCCGTGCAGGGGACGGCTGTGGGGAACCCGGGCGTCAGGTCCCCAGAGAATGGCCGGCAGAGCTCAGACCCTGGGCCCTTGTGGTGTCCCCGCCCTCCGCGTGACCCCGGGGCCCCTGTGGTCCCTGCCACGCAGCCTCACGCACTGCAGTTGTCCACGCTGCTTCTCCAGCCCCAGAGCAGGATGCCCTGCGAGGCGCAGGCGTGGGCGTAGTCGCCCAGGGCGGCGCAGATGTGCGGGAAGGTCTCCTCGTAGTTGCAGGCCTGGTACACGCACCTCTGCCGGCAGACAGCAGTGTGGGCGCCTGCCCTTCTGACTCCCGAGTCCCTGAAGGGCCCCCCACCCCGTAGCCCTCCTGGCCTCCTGCAGGCCCTGCCCACCTTGTAGAAGGGCTTTGGGTTCACCACGGCGTGGCACTTCTCGAACACCGTGCCCTTGTTCACCAGCACTGCGCAGTGGGTCTCCGCACACACCTCTGCAAGGACAGGCCCCTGTGGGTCTTGCGCCCACCCGGCGTGGGCCTCCCGCCCACCCTGCAGCCCCCAGGGCCAGGCGCTCACTGTTGAGCTGGCTCATGGAGCAGGGGTCGGTCTCGCGCTCCAGGGCGGTGGGGCAGTTCCCAGCCCGCCAAGAGTCCACGAAGAGCGAGGCAGTGCCCTCCGCGACGCCCATGCTGCTCGTGAAGTCGTCCGTCGTGTCCCCGTTGAAGTTGCCGCAGAGCCCTGAGCCGGCCGGGCTGTGAGTGTGGGCCTGCGCGCGTCCCCGCCCTGCCCTGCACCCCTCTAACCGCGCCCTGGGCAGGAGGGCTGGCCGCCAGGAGGAGCTGACCTTCTGGGTCTTGGTGAGACTCTGGGGGCTCTTTGCTCCTGGTGCGGTCAAGCCAATTGGGCCGGAGCCGCTGGGCTGGCCCTGGGCCGGCGCGGGAGGGACTCACCCCTGGTCTGGCCTCTGAACTGGGGCCCGACTGTGATGTACGCCTGGAACACGGGCTGCAGCTGCACCACGAGCTCCAGCCCGAAGGTGGTGGCCATCTGGAGGTGGGTGGACGTCTGCCTGAAGACCGTGATGTTGCCTGCGGGGGGCGGGCGCTCAGTGGGCGGCCTGCCCTGGGGCCTGAGCCGCGACCCGGGGCCGCCCCGGGGCCGCCCACGTACCGGTCTTGTATGGCAGCCACTTGGTGTCTCCGTTGTTGGTGACCACCTCGTCCTGGGAAATCACGATTTTGTCCTGTAGGGAGGGGAACCGAGTCACCGGGGCGCCAGGAGTGCGGGGAGGCGTCCCCCAACCCCAGCCCCGTGGAGAGCAGCGGGAGGGGGCCGCGGTGGGGGCGCACGGCTGCTCGGGGGCCTGGGTGGGTGCAGCGGCGGCAGTCAGGGTGGCCTCACCTGGCTGGACATGTAGATGAGTGCCACCAGGGAGGTCTCCGAGTGCGAGTACCCAGACTTGTCGTACACGGCCATGAGGGAGCCCCCGTCGGGGAGCTGCGGGCTCTGGGAGGAGGTCCGTGAGCACACAGGGCCGGGGCTTCTGGTGCCTCCGCCCCGGCGGGACCCCTTGTGAGACCCCCACCCCGTGGTGACCCCCCACGGGACCCCTGGGCGAGTCCCTGGGGCAGGCCCGCGCTACCTGGAGGAGGGTGTAGGTGCATGTCCCGTGGAAGCGGTAGGGCCTGGCGTCGAACGTGGTCACAAAGGAGCCGCCTTCCAGGGCGCAGCGCCGGGGGCAAGGCCGCTCCTCGCATTTCCAGCGCCCCATGGTGCACCGGCTGTGGGAGGGGAGGGCCACCCCGAGTGGTGGGCAGGGCTGCGGGGTCCGGGGGGGGCACCCCAGGGTGCTCTGGGCCGGCAGAACAGCCGGCCTTCAGGGCTGAGGCTGCCCCCTGAAGCCCATGACACCCAGGCCCTCCGCGTCCCCTCCTGTCCCTGTGTCCTCGCAGGCTGCTGTGCTCACCAGGTGTGGCAGGCATCCGCAGTGACCTCCCCAGGGGCGTAGGCCACGCCGCCGCGTGTGCAGGGGCACTGGGTGACTGGCACGCAGGTGAGGTTTTTGGAAACGTCATCCAGAACCGTACCTGCAGAAAGGGGCTTCCTGGGGCTGTGTGGCAGAGGCACCGTCCCCTGACCCTCCCTGGGGGGCCCCTAGTTTCCACATCGGCCCTCCCACCCACGTGCACAGGCCCGGGGCTGCCCCTGGTGAGTGCAGGCCCCGTCTCTGGTCTGGTTCACAGCCCACCAGCTGCCTCTCGGACCCCTCAGTGGACACCACCTCACTGTCCCGTGGGTTTGCACACGCAGCTGCGGGCACACTTTTGGGGTGGCAGGCAGTTCCTGATTCCAGTGTGCCAGGCGGGGCCCCATGCTGGGTGGGATGGGGGCTGATGCCCTGCCTCTGGGCTGGCTGGGAGGGGCCTTGCGAGGAGCGGCGCCTCACCGTCTGGGCAGAAGCAGCCGAAGGTGCAGAAGCTGGCGCAGCTGTGCTGGGGGTTGGAGCAGGTCTTGACGCAGGCTTCGCCACACTCCTGGTACACCTGGTTGGCCGGGCACGGGCCCAGGGCTGCAGGTACATGGGGCCCTGGTGAGGAGGCAGGCACCCCCGGGCCCTGCCCGGCCCCTCCTGCTCCGGGTCCCCTGACTCAGGGAGAAGGTGGCGCTCGGGGTCCCCCTCAGGACTCACAGCAGAGGCCGGGGCCCCGCCAGCGGCTGACGGGCTGGCCGGCCAGGCTGCAGTGGCGCGAGTACTCGGACAGCGTGGCGCAGCCGCAGCTCTGCCGGCCCGGCTGGGCGCACACAGCCAAGTCTGCCTGGCAGCTCCGCAGGAACGGCTCCTTGGGCACGTTGCACTTGGGGGCCACCAGGGTCAGCAGCCGGGCACAGGTCTGGGCCTGGGCAGAGGGCCATGTGGTCACGGGGGGAAGGCCACGTCCCACCCCCAGCGTTTTGACCAGGAAGGCTGCAGCTGTCCCCCCTGTGGCTGACGGGCACTCGGGCCCCAGGTAGCCTGACCACCTCACGCACATGCTCCGCTTGCAGGACCCGGGGGCTGGGGACAGTCTCGTGGGTGCAGATCTCGTTGGGGTCGTCCAGCTTTTGCAGGGCCGCGTATTTGTGGGGCTCCAGGAGCTTGCCTGCGTGGGGGGGTCCGTGTCAGCACCGCGGGGCTGGCCACACGGGGGCCCCGGCCCGCCCCCACCTACCGTCCTCGCTCAGAAACTCGTTGGTCTTCTTGCCGTCGAAGTTCCCGCAGAGCCCGCACATCCTGCCCATGTGCTTGTCCTCCACCAGGACCTGGGGGCCGTGAGTCGGCACCACCGCGTGAGCGTTGCGAGGGGTGAGGGCCGCCGGGGCTCCGGGACCCTCGCCCAGACGCAGAGGCCGCCCGCGCCTGCCGTGGTATCCCAGGACGCCCTCTGCCTGCAGGTTGTGACGGCCCGCCCTGCCCCTCCCTGGGGACCCCTTTCCTCACCGGACGGTCCTCATCTTCAAGAGGGGAAACTGAGCCACCAGCAGAGCCCAGGCCCATCTGGACCCCTGGCCGGGGTCCGCGCCACATTGTAGGAAGTGGAGGGCTGGTCAGGACCCCCACCCCAAGGAGGGCAGCCCCGCAGCTCTGCCCGCGAAGCTCCTGCCTCCAGGTGCAGCCGCCCCTGCCCCAGCCCTGTCCTCACCATGAGGTGGGCGCCCGGGCCCCACATCACCACCAGCTCTAGCTCCAGCTGCTTGGCCACCAGCCGCACGCTCTGGCCGAAAGGGATGATCTGCAGCCCGTTGCTGGTGTAGGGCAAGCTGACGACTCTGCAGGGTGAGAGCCGTCAGCGGTGGCCACTGCGGCCCCCAGGCCCCGCCCTCTGCCCCCCGGTTGCTCAGCCGCACAGCCTACCCCACATCTCTGATGGAGATGCCCTCCTGCCGCACAGTGACCGCAGAGGACCCCAGCTCCACGATGACCCGGGAGATGTTGCCACTGGGTTCTCGCCGTAGCTGGACACTGAAGGTGGGCGAGGTGTCCGTACAGAGGGCCGCAAAGACGTAGTTGCAGGTCCCCTCGAAGTCATACACGTGGCCGTCGAAGGTGGAGAAGTGGCCGGCCCCCCACGTGGAGCACCAGCCCCTGCCTGGAGCTGGGGAAAGAGCCGGTGGGGTCACGGAGTTCTGTGTCCCCCGGCTGGCGTGGCGGGTTCGGGGCAGCCTGGCCGCACGAGCTGGGCCCCTGGGGAGCCCACACTCCTGGGGAGACCAGTGCTGTCCAACTTCCAGACCCTCCTGGGGTGGCGGGGGGGATGAGGCCCCACGCCCAGCGATGCCAGGTTGGGGTCTGTGTGTTACCAGCCCTGGGGGCTGCAGGACACCATGCCGGAGCCCAGCCCCTGCCCCACGGCCCCCACGCCCACCCGGCAGCACAGGCCGGTCTCCCCGGGGGAGCAGCTGTCCAAGGCTCTCCTGTGACTGGTGCCTCTCGTGGAAAGCCCAGATCCTGGCCACCCCGAGGCAGGACTGTGGCCCTCACCTGTCTGTGACGAGTTCTTTGGTCCCTGGAGGCCCGGGTGGACAAAGGAGGTGTCGTCCAGACCTGCGTGGACAGGGCCCATGGTCAGTGCTGGGGCCGGCCACCTCGCTCCGGGGCATGGCGTGCCCCTGGGCGCACCGGGCTTAGGTGGGAGCAGGGCCCAGGGCTGGGCGGGGACCACAGGCTGGCACCAGGCCTCAGCCCGGGCCCGGGTGCGCCCTTCACACCTCCAGCGTCTCCCATTGGTTCACTCAGTCATTCGCTACTTCCGCACATCTGTGTGGCGTGGGCACTGGTTGTGTGCCTGTCCCCTGCTGGGTACAGGAGACCCCGTGGGGCTCACAAGGTCCCTGCTCCCGAGAGCCCCCGAGGAAGGCGAGGCGCACACACGCCCCTGACCGTGCGTGTGCGCGCGCGCACGTGCACCCGCACATGCACCCACACATGCACGCACACACACGCGCCCAGGCAGTGAGCACGGCCTGAGGCCTGGAGACGGCTGCCAGGGTTGCGCTTGGCGGGGGGAGGGGGGCATCAGGGCTGATGGGTGGCACCCCCTGGCCCTAGGGCCTCTGCTGGTTGGCCCGCCAGGCCCCCCTGACCTGTGCACTCCTGGACGCGCCAGGCCCCTTGGATTGACGGGGACCCTGAGTGCAGGACAGATGCAGCCATGGCCTAAATGGGCTGGTGGCCCAGCTGGCCCTGGGCAGGCTCCTGTGTGGACCTCGGTGGGGGGTGGCCGGGGGGGCGCCCTGGGCGCAGGGGCTCGGTGGTCTGTGGTCAGGCAGGGAACAGGAGAGCCAGGCAGCCCTGGGGGCGGGACCCCGCGCTCTGGCTGCACCCTGTGTTCCCGGCTCGGCCCACCCGGTCTCCCTGTGCGGTCCTGCTTTGCTTCGCCCACCCGTCAGCCTCCCAGAGAACGCTGGTGACCATTGCCAGAGGAACGCCCGGGTGACGTGGGGCACGGTGACTGCGGGGCGGGGGGGGCAGGATCCATCTTCCCAGCAGGGTGGCGACCCCGGGCCGGGCTGTCCCCCCCACAGGGCATTGATCAGGCAGGGCCGGTCCCTGCTCACACCCGCGACCCCCAGAGGCTCACTCCCCAGGCCCCACTCTAAGTGGCCCCTCCACCGGCTGCTCATCCCCCGGTGCCACCTCTCAGAGCCCGGTCATGTCTCCTGCCCTTCCCTCTGCTCTGTCCCTGCCCAGGCTAGGGGCCTCCGGCTCTCCCTGAACTCTGACCGCTGACACACACACTTCGGCAGCGGGGGCTCCTTTGAAGACGCTCGGGAGCCTGGCTCCACATCCCACCGCTGTCAGAGCAGGCGCTGACCCCTGGCCAGGACCCGCGGAGCTGCAGGACGGCTGGTCCGCCAGCCCCCGGGCCCCGGGCCGGCCATGCGGTGGCCAGAGCATGCTGTTCCTTCTACACGCTTGGCAGCCCCGCAGGCCCCTGCCTGTTCTGGCTCAACGCTGGCCCAGCAGGGGCCTCCTGCCCGGCCCCACAACCTCGGGCCCCCACGACCCTGGCCTCACACCTCACCCTCTGGCCCCGGTGGGCAGGGCCCCTCGCTACCTCCCTCCCAGGCCAGCAAAGGCAGTGCCCACGGAGCCCGCCCCGCCCTCTGCCCCACACACAGCCTGGGCCCCCTTGGCTCCCCTGACCTGCAGGCCCCCTCTTCCCCCGCTGGGTCCAGGGCGCCTCCCCGCCCCCTGTTCTGGGCCCAGGTCAGGGAGGTGGCCTCGGCTGTGCCGGGGTCCCGAGTACACAGAGACGCCCAGGTTGGGAAAGGCTGTCCCTGGGGCGGGGTGGGGCGGGGCCAGGGAGGCCCGCGGGGCTGGCGTCTGCAGCTGCACCTGGGCCCACTCCCTGGCTTCCCGGGAGGCCGGTGGGGGGGGATACGGTGCCACCAGGGAGGGGGCAGCAGGCCCAGGACTAAGCCGAGAGGGGGAGCAAGTCCCTTCGGGCTCAGCCCCCAGCGCTCTCCGGCAGGTAGGGAAGACAAAGGACCTGGTGCCCGCGGCCAGTGAGGAGGGTCTTCCCCCTGGGCCCCCACCCCTCAGTGACCCTCGCAGGGTTGGGACAGGTGTGGAAACCACCCCTGAGCGATGTTGCCAGTGGTGCCTCGTGTTGGGCAGAAGGCATGGGGGTGAGGGTGGTGGGGAGACACACAGGGACTGGTGGGTGAGACTGGGTGGGCTCACGGTGGCCACTGAGGGATGGGGCCCTCGCTTCCACAGACGGGGAGACCGAGGCCCGGCGCCCACGGAGCTGTCGTTTACAGACAGGGCCCACGGAGCTAGGTCTTCGCTGGGGTTTTGGGGCCCCACACCATCATGGCCACCCCGGGCGACCCCTGGCAACCTCTCAGGACCCATGGCCCAGAGGGAGGTGGGAGTGCCCGGCCCCGGGCTGAGCCCCCCACTGTACACCTGGCACGAGCCCGGACACTTCACCCATCGTGGAGGAAACTGCATGTCCCCGCGGGATCCCGGCCCGCTGCCCAAGTCCGTTTGTCCAGGCATTTGGCCTCTGCACCCTCTGACCCTCGCTGGCTGGGCAACCCGGGCCTTGGCCAGGGCAAGGTGGCCAGAGCACAGAGGGCATCCCGTCCATCCACGTTCCGAGGCCAGCCCACGTCCAGCCGGGCCGGAGAGCCAAGCAGCCGGTCAGGCTTTCCGCTGCCCGGGGGCCTCGGAGGGCATCTGGCCGTCCCTCGGGCGTGGCCCGCAGGCCCGCACTCACCGGCGCCGAGCAGGGCCCCCCCGCAGGACAGGAGCAGCAACAGCTGCAGCCCCAGCATGGTGCGCGGAGAAGAGAGGTCGCAGCCGGACTGGCCCTCCCGCCGCTGGACACCGGGCGGGCTCGCGGCACCTGTGCAACTGAGTGGCCAGCCCCAGGCCCCTTATATAGGCGCCGCGGGCCCTGCCCCTGCCGCGCCCACCCGCACCCCACGCTCCAGTCCTGTAATTGTCACCGCCGGCCGGTCAGGCGCAGCGCTGGCCAAACAGGATCTCGGGCGCTGCTTTATCAGGATTTGGACGTCTTGGGAAAATTGTTCCCATTATCGCTCGCTTCCGCACCGGGGGCTGGCCCTGCCCTCTGGGGTCCTGCAAACGCCTCCCCCGTCTGCTCCAGGCTGCGGTCACTGGGGGCCGTCCTGGGAGACGGTTCTGGAGGACAGGGCCCAGGGTCAGCATGGGCGCTGCCAGCCCCAGCCCGGGAGTCCAGAGTGCTAGCAGCACAGCTCCTGGGGTGGCTTCCGCCCCACCCAGACCTCAGGATCCCCAAAAGGCACCGGCATGCCAGGCCCCCCCCAGGCAGAAAGACCACCAGAAGGGGAGGCAGGCAGACTGCCCTTCGGGTGGGGTCCCAGGTGCCAGGCCATCGAGCTGGGCAGCTGGCTGCAGGCTCAGACAGGACACCGGCCCGGAGGCCAGGGGGGCTCTCGAGGCTGGCACCACACACCGGGGCGTGGGGGCCTTTCCTAGAGACCCCTCCCAGCCAGCCTCCTGGGACTTCAGGCCCTGTGGGGGAGCGATCATGCTGCCCCCAGGTCTGTTTTCCGGCCCCCCACAGCTCAGCTCTTCAACGTGCAGGAGCAGCGTCAGAGTCCCTTGGGGGGCTACCCATCTGGGGCACCTTCATGGGGTTGGGCCAGCCTTAGGGTGCAGGCCCCCCAGCCTCCAGGGAGGACAGGGTGGCTTCTGGGTGCTGCGTCTCTGGGAGCAGGGGTCGCGGGGCCAGGGGCCCTTGTCCACAGGCAGGACACATGCCAGCGCCACAAGGGATCGGGGTAAAATCAGGTGAGGGCCAGGGCATGGGTGTTTGGGGTCCTCTCTGGGTCCCTCTCTCACTGGGGAGCAGGGCAGGTCTGACTGCTCTCAGGGCAGCCCAGCCCCAAGTGGGACGCCACGTGGGGACTCGGGGCCTGGCTTGGGGGGATTCCCCTTTCCCAAGGGTGGTTCTGTTCCCACGGAGACACAGGCCCCTTCCACTGAGAAGCTGCATCTGGGCTGCCAGCCAACCCCTGGCCTGGGGCCCCAGGTGGGTCTGCACCCTGGGTCGCAGACCCCTGAGCCCACGTGGCCTGGCTTGGGCAGCCCCCCACCCCCAGGAGGCCCAGCCACACAAGTAACTGCAGGAAGGGCCACCCGTTTATTTGCAGTAAACTTTAGTGTTAACAGGAAATTTTTCCAACAGAAACCGCCCTCTGTGAGCTACTGGTCCTCCGGTGCCGAGTTGCCGGGTGCTGTCCCCGTGCTTTCTCCTCAGGCTCGAGCAGCCCCAGCGCCCGTGGCCCACGGTGCCCCCCACCCGGGCAGGGCGAGAGGCTGGAGCCATCACAGAGCTTTGTAGGGGGTCCCGGGAGCTCAGCTGGGCTCACTGCAGTGAGGGGCGGTGTGAGAAGGGGCCCCGGCTTTGGCAGGGGCCTCCCTGGGGGCTCCCCGTCCCCCGGAGAGCTCCTGCAGTCACGGGGCTCCTGACGCTCCCGGAGCCCCACAGGGACACGGGCGGGCCCTTCCTGCAGGCCTCAGTCCCGGCCGGGGTGGAGGGTTGGCACCCGGACGTGGGGCTGTAGAGAGGCGACCGTCAGGCCTCAGGGCCGGGGTGGGGAGGCCCGGAACCCCGGCGGCGGGAAAGCGCCTGGGTGCTGGGCCTCTGCTCTGAAGGCCGCCCGGGGTCATCCCCCAGCACAGGGAGCCATGGGGCCTGGTGCGGCCTGAGGTGGTGGGCGGGGCCATCCTCTGGGGTCCCTGTGGCTGGGCCGGCAGTGGAACTGAGCCCTGAGACTTGTTCTCCGGTGGCCCACAGTTCAGGGCCCCAGCGGCTTCACCTGCCCCCGGGGCCTGCCGCCCAGCCACCGGCCCGCCCGCCACCCAGCCACTGGCACCTGCCTCGGCCCTGGCACGGCCGCCCCTCGGATCCCCCACACAGCCTGCAGGGTGCCCCGGCTGCTCCCTCCCGCTGCAGCCTTCCGCCCCCTCTCTACTTCGCGCCCCGCGTCAGGAGCTGTGGGGTCTCAGCAGGGCCTCGCCCCGGGGGGTTGGTCCGCCTGGTGTCCGGGTGTCCCAGCACCTGGAGGGCTGAGCAGGGGGCAGGTGAGGAGGAGGCTGGAGGGAGTGAACTGTGGTCCGGGGACATTCCTGGGTCACCGACCCGCAGGGCCTGGGGAGAGGCCAGGGGCACGTGGCTGGCAGGGGTCCCTATGCTGGGGTCTCCAGTGTCATCTCCAACACCTTAAGGGACACAGGGGTGCCCTGACGGGAGTTTGGATGTCACCTGGATGGCGGTGGGGCTCCTGCCCACAGAGCCTGGACCAAGGAAGCTCATGTGTGTATGTAGGTGTGTGTGAATGTGTGTGCATGTCCACGTGTCCTGTGTGTGCCATGCATGTCGTGTGCGTGTCTGTGCGTGCCATGTGTGAGTGTGTGTGTACCTCTCCGTGTGAGCTGTGTGGGCACGTGTGCACACCGCTGAGTGCATGTGTGCATCTGTGCGCATATGTGAGATGTGGTTTGAGTTTCCTGGAAAAACTGCGCTGTGCGTTCCGGGATCCGCCGCTGCAGGGCTGCCGGCCCCAGGGGCTGCGGTTGGTGGACGGCTCGGGGGGCGGGGGGGCATCACGGGAAGCCGCGGGCAATGGCGTGTTTGTGGCTGACCTGGGAACGCTCAAGCGCGCTGAGCAAACAGCGGGGCGATAAGAGTGTGTGCAGTCATTGTTCCCGGCGGCCTCAGCGATAAGAGCACATCCCGCTGGCTGGCCTCGGGAAGCGGAACCTGCGGGCTGGACAAGGGGGCGATTGTGCGCCCTCACGCCCCAGCCCAGACCCCCGCCGGGCCCTCCAGGGGCACGGCCTGCCCTGCGCGGCACCGGTCACCTGGGGCCAGGCTGGCTGTGCGTCCGGGAGCCCCGCGGGCCCTGAGGCCTGGCCGAGCCTCTGAGCCCAGTGACCGGGGAAGGGCCCCACACCACCTGCAGCCTCCTGACGCGGTGGGGAGGACGGGCAGTGTCTCCTTGGCCGTGGCTGCTGGACAGCCCCGACCTGGCCTTCACCGGTGGCTTGGAGCCTGGTGATGGCTTGGTGTCCCCCCCGAGCAGGTGCTTCCGGAAGGCTCCAGGTGGGCCGACCTGGCTCCCGTCATGGGCAGGAAGCCCCCACGACCCTGGGTGTGCTGGACTCTGGTTTACGAGGTGCCAGGGCCCACCCTGGTCTGCCTGCCCTCCAGGACCGCCGCCCACCACCTCTGTCCTGTGTGACACCCCTGGGGGGGAGGGCAGGCGGGGCTTCCCTGCCCCACCCTCCCCTGGGGGCGGCACCGACCACCAGTCACATCAGAGGAGACAGCCGTGGTTTTGGGCGAGTTGGGGGACCATTTCGACACAGGAGTGGAATTGCCCTTTGTGCGGCTGTGCCCTGGCCTGGCCAGCTGCCCTCGCCTGCCCACGGAGGGGCCCGCGCGGCGGGCAGGAGGCTGTAATGACCAGCCAGCACTGGGAGCTGGGCCCTCGGGGGCCTGCTGCTTGGGGACCCAGGGAGGACCAGGAAATTCTGCTGTGAGCATGTCCAGACCTCTGCCCAGTGGCCTGCAGCCCCTTTTCCCTGTAATCCCGCCTCACTTGGGAGCCTCACCCCAGCGCCACGGGCCCATGGGGGCCCCCAATTCTCCTTTCCAGACCCCACCCTGAGCCAGCACCGCAGCCGGGCGGACGGGCCCCAGGGAGGGCGCTCACCCCGCAGGCCCTCTGCCCACCCTGAGTCCCCCCTCCAGCTGACGCCCCCAGCGCCGACCCCCACATTTCCACTTTCGGCCTCTGGCCTGGGCCTGGGTTTGGGGTGGGCACTGCCCCGCCAGGACCCCCACAGGGCAGCCTCAGCGCTGACCGCTGCTCACTGCCCCACACTGGTGGCTGCCAGGTGAAGAGGACGTCGCGCCTGGGGCTGCAGCAGGGGTCCTGGTGGCGGCCGGCCCCCAGCCAGGGCGGTTCAGGAGCCCGCAGCCGGGACGGCGCTGTGCCGCGGTGGGACTGTGCTGTGAGCGGGCCGGGGCTGTGGGCCTTCTGGTCCACTCTAGGTGCTGGCCCTGGGCCGGGCCCTGACGGGGACACCGCAGGCGGCGGCAGCCAGGGTCGGGGGTGGTGGCGGCTAGGGGGCAGCCTGGGCTGGTGGGCTGGGAGAGCCAGCCCCCCGCCTCTCAGGGAGGGCTCAGATCGGGCTGTGTGTGGGGAAATGGCGCTCGGGGCGGCGTGGGGGGGGCTGGCCGCAAGCTTCAGGCAGCGCCCGGGGTGCCCCACTTGGCACGTGCTTGGCACAGCCCCTCAGCTTGCCTGCCACACTGGACCCCTTGATTCCATCCCCCTCAGGGCACCTCTGACCCCATTGTGGCCAGAGTTGGCACCACACAACCAGCACGCCCAAATGTGCCTCCTGCTCACACGCCCTCCCACCCCGTTGTGGGGACCCCGGGCTGCCCCCATAACACTCCCTGGCTTGTGTTCCTGTGTCTGGTGGGACCACGGAGCCCAGAGCCCTGGCTTGTTCCCTGCCCAGCCCCGAGAACGCCCCCCTCCCGGGTGAGCAGACCCCGGCCGGCCCACGCCGATTGCCGTGGACGTTGGGCAGAAAGCAAACAGATAAGGTAGGCCGGGCGGAGATGGGGGCTGGGCCGCGGCAGGACGGGCGCGCCTCAGGCCCGGGCGGGGCTCCCGGGGTGTCCTTTGCCTTTCGGGCGCAGAGGCAGCAGGTCAGCGGTGTTTGTTCTCTGCTGGTGGCCTGTGAGGGGATGTGGGGGAGGGTGGCG